TCTGTGTGCTTAGTCTTGGCTGGAACTGCACAGATGTTTTAGAGATACGCTCACTGACCTGATCTCTAAGTGCTTCTTCCCCCTCCCATTGAGTCAAATTTTTAAATGTGACATTTGGAGTTGAAATGAAGTTTACATCTTACTTTTTTTTTTTTAAATTCCACTTTTCAGAATCCTAAATGTCTTTTGTTTTTCACGCTGAACGTCTGTGTGCGTGTGTCTGTGAGAGGGAGGTTTATGTGCCTGCCATTCCAAAACGCTCTTCCTCAATCAGGACAGTCTCTGGCAGAAGAACAGCGAGCGTCTGACGAGCTCAGAACCTTAAATGAATCATTGTTTATGGTGTTTGGTTAAGTTGGCAGGAAAAGGAGTAAGATGACTCTTTCTCATGTGCCTTGGTCACTCCTCACTCTTGAGGGCTTGTCACAAAATATTTTGGTTACAGTTATGTAAATGGAAAATTTGGTCTTTTTGTTGCTAAGAGTCCCACTTTTTGATATTTTCAAACAAAAAGCTTGACTCAGAATAATTCCTTGAATAATTTCACAATAATAAATGAGAAAAAGGAGACGGAAGATGAAAATAAAATGGCGTAACAGGCAAACAGGTGGCCTGAACAGTTTTATGAACTATTTATGGGCAAAGGGTTTTAATTCTGGACGAATGGAAGACATTTGTGAAGCATCGGTCCTTGATGATTCTGTGCCGACAACAATGACTGGATTTAATAAAACTCTGGGAAAAATCTGGAGAGTATTATGTAGTTTGATGTTTTCCATGCTCAGTGCCTGTTGATTAATTATTGTCTTCGCTGCTTGTCTGAATGCATTTGGTCTGTTTGCTCTTCTAAGATGTTGGCAATTGATGAAGAAGGACTTTTAGATTATATGTCAAGACTGCAGAGGGGTGATTAGATGAGTTATAAGGGGGGAAAAAACTGGAGTGGAAAAAATTATTTACAAAATTTTTTATGCATTGTCCTAGAATTTAGTATGACAAAACTGAGTTTTAGACCGCATGGTTTGGCGGATGGAGCAACTAAAAGTTGAGCATTATTGGCAGATTGTTTTGTTGGTGATGGAAGTTTTGAAGGAACCTAATTTGTTTTTTCATTTCATTTATTTATTTACAGAGCACCTTTATACCACCAGTCAAAGTGGCACAAAGTGATGCATACTAAAAATAGATGAACAGATAAAAATATAAAAGAAGTTAAAAAACCAGATGAGATTTCCCTAAACCCTCACCCAAGGATAAAAGCAAAAAATTCATAACACAATTAAAACAGCAAAAGCGAAGAAACACAGAAACAGTTAATCAAATGACATGGAGCAAATGGGTTAAACCAGCTTGGATTCAAAGCCATACTATGCAACTTTTTCATAGATTTAAATAATATACGTTAGCCAGTATGTGCTAAAAGGACCCTTTAACAGGTTAATGTAAAGTCTTCCAGCCCCGATCACCCCCGTGGCCAAAAGACCGCATTTGCTACTTCAGAGTGCCTGGGCTGACCCTTGTTAGTCAATAGTAAAGTGGAGCTGACACGCTAGCGCTGCAGTCTGATTCCAGCATGTTTCCTGCATGTTTTAGATCAGGGCTTTTCAATTCCGGGACTCTACAGGAGCAGGCCTCTTGTAGAACCTATTGAAAGCTGAGGATACATTTCAGCAGTTAGATTAAAGCGTTAAAAAGATGAACGCACAGCAATTATGAACTGTAGGGGGTGCTAATAGCAAGCTAAACTACCAAGTGTGCCTTTAAAACTCTGCAAAGAAGCAGATTGTTTAATGTACAATGGGAGTTGGTTCCAGAGTCTCAGTGCAAACCGGTGCAAACACAGAATGCCTGCCCCACCTCCTGAGACTTTTGTCTAGATCTCTGAACCACTAACGCTTCAAAATTTGTGAAAATCAGTCACCATTTTCAGTTCTTAAAAAATCCATAAACCTGTTCTGTTCAAATGTAAAATATCATCCAGGTACTTGGTAGCTAACCAGGCCAGAACACACCTCACCCAAAAAAAAAAAAATCTTCCAGACGATTGTTGGTGCTGTGTAGCGCCATAAAAAAATAGATAAACAGCAAACATAAATACAGAAGGCCACAAACCCTTAAAACCAGAGAAAAAAAATCACGCTTTAAGTGTTTCCGGTACCTGAAACTGGCTAAATATCTTAACCCCAAGTACTCCGAACTGTATGGTCCCGATTTAGTAGAGTTAGAAAATGAGCTACATATTTGTTTACGTGTTTAAATTGGTTCAGTGAAGACATGATTAGAAAACTTCTGCACCTCCTTTCCTGTGTGATCTGGTGCCAGCAGAAACTATCTGTTTCTAATCAACAACAAATTCTGTTTATTCTTTGGTACATTTTGGGCTCTATGTTAGACGGTGTACACAATGCACACGTACCCAATCACAATCTTAGGAGCAATCAGACAATTTAATTCAACTCGTCGTTAACAAAACCTTACCAAACGCAGCTTTTAGGGCGTAATGGTTTCTTACATAAACCCAACAATCCGCTGTTCTTCTGCTTAGTGTGATTTTTGTTGCTTATGGGTAAACGTTGTGTGTTGAATGTCACCGTAGAGGCAGAAGACTGAGCTGCAGCTGCCTCTCTCATGATCAGACATAAAAGAAGCCAGCTTTAGGAAGAAACAAATACTTTCCTTTTGAGTAAAACGGAAATGTCAGATTCATCCGTTTTCTTATTGTCCACTTTTAGATGAGAATCAATATGTTTGTTTTTATTATATTTTTTATACACATAATGCAACATTGATTGCAGCAAATCCTAGACACATGACTTATCCCGTTGTGTCTGTGCCAGCGCTGAACTGATCCTGCTGCAAATCATTCAAGGAATTCTAAAGAGGAACCTGAACGAATGCCAGCAAGATGAGCAATAAGACGTAGACATTAACAACAACAAAAGGCACAAAAGGAAGAGGGTAAAAACTCAAAAAGGAGGGGCATGGAATGAGAAACATCAGGGAGTGTCTGATGAATCGAATCATGGCTTGGATTTAGAAATGAGCCAAGTGTGTGTGGTCTGCTGACAAGTCTCTGATGACATTATTAAACCCACATAGTTTCTCATTTCAGTGAATGCTCTGTTGCTTTATGCAGTACGTTTTATTTCATCTCAGCAAAGTGAAGGAGTGAGGAATACTTAAAAAAATGAAAAGTTACTACTCAGACATACACAGAGGAGAATACAAAGTTGAGGAAGCAGACGGAGATCAAGCCAAACTCAAAGTGTCTGTGTTTTTAGTTTTCCTTTTATCTTCTGGCTTGGAATTCTGAAAATATGAAAAGACAGAGTTCAGTGGCAGCATTGCAGCTGCCACTTTTACATACTTTGTTCCTTGCTGGGAAGTTTCTCAAGGTGCAAAAGGAACTTTTGTATCTCCCCACTAGTGAGGGAATCCTTGTTAGTTTGTTTTCCTCCGCATAACGTTTAATACATAACAAAAATCTACCTGTTAGCATTGGTTCCCTTTTGCTGACGGGGTGATGATCTACATTGGCAAAAAACTGAATAAATGGCACAACAGAAGGTGTTCTGGAACTCTGTCTACAAGCCCAACGGCTCAGTGGAGTTATATTTTGTTTAAGTTGCTCACTAATCTGCTCAGATTTACTGCTGCTGTATTATGGGAGCATTGAGTGTTGAGAAGCTAATGCATTCCAGGGATCTGAGCTTGTACAGATGTTGTCTCCTGTAATTTAATGCATTCTGCGTGTATGTGCTTCCCCTTAAGGGGCCACCCTGATCGTGGCCTCCATTTACCTTTTCACAGCCTTTGTGGTATTCCTCGCCTCCATTTTGTCCTTTTTCCTACGTAGTCCAGGTGGAATGTGGAAAAAAAGGTCAGCCGAGGTGTTCATGTGGTGGAGATGTGCTGATAAAATTCTCTAGATCAGTGGTGGAGCCGTTTAACCAAAGGAATTCTTTAGGATCGTATCATGGAAAAGGGGCCTTTTGGAGCAGAAGAGATCTAATTTCCTTTTTCCTGAGGCTCATGAAAAACAGACGGCTTCAGATAAGTACAGACCTTGGTTATATCTGCTAGGTTCAGGGACTTGCCTGCCTTAATGACGGTGTGTGGGTAACTGTAGAATAGCCCCTTTTAAGAGCTTACAGACTTCCTTAAAACCTTAGGTCAATCCATAAATTTACAGTATGTCTAGTTAACAGTCAGGACACCTTTTGTTTTATTCTCGTTTTATCACCTTTCTGTCGGTGCAGACCTTAGGCAATCAGTCAAAAATTGAAGATGCTTCCTGAGAGTTTCCACTCCTGCCAGGGTTTTATAGCCTCTCTTGCACGCAAAGACCAACAAAACTCACAGGTTTACGCCAAAAGAGGGTCCTCTCTAAAGGGAAGGCTGGTTTAGAATTAGGTAATTACCTGATTTATACAGCTGATTTTTCCCTTTAACTCTACCTCTTTATGGTAGATCACCATGAATCTCATTTGCATAACGTCTCTCTATAGTGGCTAACTCGACACTACAAAGAAACAACAGAGGTGTGCACTGCACCAGTTGGTTGGCCAATCAGAGGATTCAGGGCCTCAAAGAGACTGGAACGGAAAAAAGCACAAGAAGAAATTCAGAAATACACAATAAATGTTAATTTATTTTGGAAATAGAAATATTTGGGACAGAAATTCTTCTCAATTTGGACTGACTAAGCTCCTTGATTGAGAAGCGAAATGTCTTTAGAAACCAAAGAAGTCCAGCTGTTTTCATTCAAAATTCTTTGGAAAATACAGTCGATTGTTGAAACTGAGTGAACGCTTCTATCTCCAGCTACAACAAATAAATAAAAGTAGAGTTTTTCTATTTTTTGTACCTCTCATTTATTCCAAACAAGAAATCAAAAACATAGATGGATATTTTGCTGTCCTATACCATTTTGATAACACACTCTTGTGGGAGTGGGATATCTTGACTCAACTTCTGCTGATTCATTTTTTCTCTTCTAGGGTGACATCCAGCAGCTGCTGATTGTAGCAGATCCCAGAGCAGCCTATGACTACTGTGAACTCTACAGCCCTGACTGTGAAACACCCAGCCATCATGACATCCCGCAGGCTCAGGAACCAGAGGACGTGGTCAGTATCTGTAGGGGGTCCGGACTGGGGCGGGGGGTAGCAAGAGAAGGTTTATGACTAAGAGGAGGAAGTGCAAGAGAGCTTTACAGAGACAGACAGAGAAATGTGTGTAGTAGTTGGGGAAAAAGAGTCTGGAATGATAATTACAGGAGTTTAAAAGTATTTCTTTATACTTTTATGTTTATGAGCTAAAGACCAAAGGAAGAAAGATCCAATAAAACAAAGTATAAGGCTTGGATGAAAATGATGTTGCTTATAAGAAATAAAGATTTAAATATTTGTTTTGTTGAGGAAACAGAGAAAAGTTTAGTTTTATTTAAATGCCTTCATTTCAGCAGCATTAATCTATTCGTTTACAGCTGCTTCAAATTCAGCACTTTTGCATTACATGCTTGTATTTTCCCTAATTCCAAACTACCATGCACATTATATGGGATAAGTGTTTCTTTTTTAAACCAATCCAGTAATTGCTCAAAGAGGAGAAGAACAAAACAATGTCTGATGTGACTCTTTTTTGTCTTTTACTAAAGGAAATTATGTTGGCACATAAAATGCATGGCTGAGTTTGAAATGTAAGTTTTATTATACTGCCTCAAAAGCATCACAGTTTGACTCTTCAACCATAACTGAAACAGAAGGCTTGTGTTTTTCTGTTTTGTGTTTTTTAGCTCATCCGATTCTTCCTGATATTTTCCTTCAGCTTTACACCAAATATCTGATGAGCTCACTTTGGAAACTTTTCCTTTTTTCCTGCCTCGAAGCCCTCGCCCAATTCAGAGTTTTCCTTTGATTTATATCACTAACGAGTTCTGCAGACTCACATGGAAATTTAAGCTTTTTCTTCTCCAGCTATACTTCTAGTACCTGGAAAAGTAGACTTGAGATCTCTGGTGTGAGGGGAAAAAACGTAGAGCCGGTTCTCTTTTCTAAAATATTGGCTGAACAGTGGGTACCAGTGCTGGAAAATGTTGCTTCATCATCAAGTGACTTTTCAGTTCGAACAGCAGGAGTTTGTCAATCCCAAATAGACAGCAGGGAGCAGTTTGGCTTGGAGAACATTGCAAATCTGGTTTATTCACTTAGCTTTTGTACGGTTAAGACCGGAATGTTCTTACATTCCAACTTAGCATATTACAAAAACATACTCTTTCAAAAAATAAACAAAAGCTTCTTCCAAGCAGAACAAATCATTTTAAAACACATTAATTTATATTTATTATAAAAAAGTATGATGCAGTAGGAGGAAAGCTGACTTCTTCTATTTATCTTTTATTAAACCCTAAAGAGAAGGCATCCCAAGTGTGTCAACACCATAAATCTGACTGTCTGGGTCACTTTGAAACCCTTGCCTTCTCTTATTTCCTCCTCAGTCTGTCTGGATTGCCTGGACAGGGCTGCTTCCTTTTGACCTTTTCTCTCTCCAGACTGCATAACGTGGGCCAGGCCAGCAGCAAGCAGTGGCTCTTGTAATATTTTTATTAGCTTAGCAGCTGCCCTGGGACTAATACTTATTCCTCTGCTGCTGAAGTATTGCATATCAGAGGCTGTTCTGTTCACATAATCTACCTCTCTTCTGTTTTGACAGCATTTGGTAAACTAAACTTTTTTTCCTGTTCTTAACTCATTCGCTGCCAGCCGTTTCCTGATCAGTAAAGCCCATCACGGCCAGCGTTTCTCATCGTTTTTACAGTTTTTTTAAAGAGTGACAGAACGTTGCACGATAGGATGATGTTGACGCCAAAACAACCAAAACAAAGCGGAGACTCACCTCTTACATCGGGAAGAATCCGCACGTTTTGAGCTTTATCCGTTCTTTCATAATCCGTTGTTGAATTGTGATCGGCAGACGCGTTTCCGGTTCGCGCCTCACTTTTTTTTACAGCAGCGGCCCAAAAGGATCTCCTAACACATGGATTTTCTGCTTCCTGATCACGTGACGTGTGACGTATGCAGATAAAGATCGACTTTAGAGCTGAGATGTTTGTTTTCACGGTGCGGGGGCTTGTTCCAATGCCCACAGAGTAAAAAATTGCAAAAGACGACTTTAGTCGTCATTGGCAGTGAATGAGTTAATGACAGAAGAAGCTGAATCATTTTATGATATGAAAGTTTTGGGCAGTTTATTATTCTGCAGGTTGTCCCTTAATAGTAGTCCAAAATTTGAGAGAAAATGCAAGAGATATGGGAGATTGTTTTTCCTGATTTACTTTATGAAATGGATTATTGTTTCAAAAATAATTAGGACTATCCTATTACTGCAAGAAGATGGAACTGATCCAAAAAGTAGTCTTTGATGATCTACTCGATAAGCCTTGTGGCTCTGACTCGCCTCTAGTCTCCAGCCTGATGGTGAAAGCTAGAAAAGAAGATTTTGAAGTTTGTGAATCTTCCTTTGAAAGAGAGTGACTGTCTAAGCTAAAGCTAAAAGCAAACTGTAGCTAGCCTGCTCCTTTCCCAACCATTCTGTTGATCGCCTGCCAAAAGTTTCAGTCCCTCCCTTTTTGTTTTTTACTTCACTGACTCTTTGTCCTGTAATGTGATTTACAGAAATTGGAATAATGTACTGTGTAAAAGAGTAACATCCTTCTAGTCAGTGTTGCTTTCATGAACGTGGATTCTTCAGAAACTTACGCTATCATGTTGAGATAAACGATAAAGCATGAAACTGTCTTTTACGTTTCAGGTTTAAGGTGTCATTAAAATAAAAATAAAAATTTTTATCTGAAGAAAATTTGTATTTATAAAAGAAAATACTATTATTAGTTGGAAAACTCTGACAAAGTTAATTCTGTTCATTTCATTGAAAGCTATTTACAGCCACCAATAATGATGGCTCAAAGTGCTGGACACAGTGAAAAATAACCAATTATTAAAATAATGATAAAAACTCACAAAACAGATAAAAAAGATTTTTAAATGATACTTAAACGAAAATAAAACCTCACTAAACATAAAAGTGATAAACTGAGTTGTGGTACTGTGGCATGTCAGCTAGTCCACAAAATACAATAGCAGGTAGACCAGGTAAATGGTCATAGGTCAACCAAATCAAAGGGATCAAACGCTGTTTAAGCCATCCTAAGATATTGAACAACCCTAGCTTTAAATCCCTAGTGTGGTTGAGGTTCGAATCTCAAGTGGAAGTTGTATCCGCAGTTTTGGTGCTAAAATCTCAAATGCACCTTCGCCACGTGACCTAAGTTTGGCCCTGGGGACCACCAGTCGGTGCTTGTCAGAGGGGCGCAGGGCAGGTGTTGGCACATAAGTTTAAAATATTGAAGCAACAAAGTTAAACAAATCAGTAAATAACTTCATGAAGGGTTTGTTGCTCAGAAACAGCTGACCAGTGTAGCGACAAATATAGATTTATATCTATATTTCAAATGTGGCGTAGATTTAACTTGTTTATAATCTTATATTAATTAATCGGGGCATCACCAGTTTTCGGAACTGGACCATTTGATTTAATATCTATATCTTTGCAATGTAATTAGTCTGAGTTAATGCCACAAATTAATCCAAAGGATGAATTCTTGACAGAATGCGCTGAGTATTCCCGAGAAGTACTAGACAAAGATCAGGCGTTATTTACATTTTGTGAATTTATTACAACATCAGCTAATACATTGACAAAAGGATCAAACACAGCTTATAGTTTCATGCATGGAATTAAGAAAATTGTAACCCAAAGCTTTATGGCATTGATCGGAAATAACTGATCCCTAATAAAAGTGTAAATTCGGTGACATCAGGATTATAGAAAAGTAGGGAATAATTTCTAAAAGGAGAACCAAGGAAGGGTGTGTGTGTGTGTGTGTGTGCGTGCGTGTGTGCGTGCGTGCGTGCGTGCGTGCGTGTGTGTGTGTGTGTGTGTGTGTGTGTGTGTGTGTGTGTGTGTGTGTGTGTGTGTGTGTGTGTGGCTCGTTATGGCAGAAGAAGAAAGGGGATCTTGAAGGCTAATGTGAATCTGGGATCAAAATAACAACACGCCATAAAGAAATGGACCAATCTGAATTCACTAATCGGGCTTAGCACAAAAAGTCAGCCAGATGAGATGCTTCACAGACCTTTTTCCGTCACCAAAGAGGCATCCTGTGGGCTGGTTAGGCCGGTCCAGAAGCTTGAATGCGGCCTTCAGGGGCCGTAGGACTTTTTGGCACCTCAGCTTAGGTCAACGGTGTCTGTGGTGTATAGAAGGAGGTGTTCTCCCGTAGTGGCTTGACTCAAGTTTCCTTCACTTCAGCAGCCTCGAAACGTGGAAATCAGATCGTGGGCCCAAATTATCGCAAACGGAGCCGAATCCTCAAACTGTTCCAAATTGCTCTTACTCTTAATATACAAACTCGACCGCCTTCCGGTTTCACGTAGAAAGTCAAAACAAACTAATGGGGTTGCTTCTGATTTTTACCGTATTTTTTGAGAGCTAAGGGCTTAACAAATTTATGAGTGTCAGGTTATCTGGTGCTGGGCCCAGATGACAAGCCCAGTAGAGGTTCGCTTAAGGCATCTTTCTTCTTTGTTCTGCCCCACAAGGTCTGCACTGTGGCTTTATAACCTCCTGGGTCACACCCGTATTTCACTCACTAACCACTGGACACTGGATGGCACTGTGGCTCTTTCAAATAAACTCTACCTTCTCAAAGATGGAAAGTTCATGATCACAATTTAATACAGTTATTCATATAAAGCCTCAAAAAGTATTACTTTAGCATCAAAGTATTACTTTAAACTGGAAAGAATAAAATCCATGTCTTAAAACTGAACAGTTTTACCATTAGCATGAATTTTAACTGGAGAAGCAAACATTGGCAGAGGTTTAATATAAAAGAAAAACACGAAACAAGCAGTTAGGTTTGTAACTGATACGATTTTAACTTAGAGCCCCTTGATTTCTATTTTAAGGGTAAACAACCTAAACACCTTCTTTGATTATAGATAAAAAGAAAAATACCACGGTTTTGATAAAGGCTAAATCCTGGAATCTTCCAGAATGACCCTAGAGAAGTTTTACGAGCACCCGGCCTTGGGGGAGAGTCAGTTATTGGCAGGTTGAGATAAGACAGACCAGGTCCTGATAATGTCCGGCTTAACAAGTCCCTTGGTAAAATTTAAGTTCCTGGGAGAAAATGTAGGAGTTAACCAGAATGCTCAAACTGCGGGCCAGTTTCAAATTCCCCTTTTTATTTTCTTCTGCTAAATGTGAGAAGAAAAACTTTGTGAAGTTATGTTCTCCTTCGTGTGAATGCAAACAAAGTTAATCTGAGGATATAAAATGTGGATTTCCACAACACCGGTGTTTACATTAACATCAAATGGCTTTAATTGCAGGGTGTGGAGGTCAGTCAAATCAGCTGTGTAGGGTGTGCACAAGTTATTTTGGGTGCAGATGGTGTAATGTGCTCATAAAAGCCAACTCAACAATAATGTGGCTGCACAAATGTAGGGAGAGGTTCAGGGTTTAAATCCTGGACGAGCCCTCAGTGATGTGACCATGTAAACGCTAGTAAAAGATTTTGAACCTAATTTGAACTCAATTTAAATAAACAAAAATTAATTAATTATTTTACATCTAAACTGTCTAAAAGTTTTGATCATGCTGTAAGGAAGGTTACATTAAAGGAGATTTCCTTCTCAGCTGGCTGGGAGGCTGTCAGCTTTTCTCCTTTTAAAAAAGCCAAAGAGGGATGTAGTCTTTGTTTAAGATCTGTAAACCAACAGAGTTGCGGAGTCTAAGCTGTCAAAACACTGTTGCGCTGGCATTTGTAATTTAACATCTGCCAACAAACACTATTGAAAGAATGTTAGGCAGTTATTTCATGTAACTAAGAAATGACAATAACTTTTGTTTCGTTCTAATATCGGGAAAAAATGTCTAGATCCAGATTCAGATTTATTTATGTATATAGCCCCTTCTACCAGCTTGATGGAGGCCCAAAGTGCTGAACAGTACAAAAAAAATTAAGAAAGATATAAAAATAGCATACAAGCAATCAATTGAAAAACACAGATTAAAAACTATTTTAAAAAGCAGGTAAAATATGAAAACCAATGTCAGTGGTGTTGGGGGAAAGCTAACCAGAAAAAAAAAAAGTGTTCAAGCGAGACCAAAAAAACACCTGGAGAGATGGAGTTTGCTTTTATGTTAGAGGGAGCTCATTCCAAATGTTTGGTGCCATTACGGAGAAGGCCTGGTCCCCCATTGATCTCAGTTTAGAGCGCTGGACTTCCAGCAACTGCTGCCCAGCAGATCGAAGGGCCCGAGAGAGGACATGCCTGTGCAACGATGAAGCTAGATATGGTGGAGCAGTGCCCTGAACACATAGAGGAGGATCTTGAATCTTGCCCGATGGTTCACTGGAAGCCAGTGCAGGGGATCTAAAACTGGGGTAATGTGATCCCTCCCTCTAGAAGCTAACATTGAGCTAACTGTGCCAAAATAATCTCAAACTCCTTTTGTCAATTGCCAACTTCTCAATATTACATAAAAATGTTTTTATCTACCTAATATCTTACTATGAATGACTCATCTTCACTCTTTATCTAGAGTCTTCTGGCGCTGATCTGTAGCTGGTAACTACCATCAAATTGGCGGATGGGAGGGAGGTGGGAAATTGTTTGTTTTGTAACATGATCACAGGATGTCACTCTTACATCATGTACATTTAAATCAAAATGTAGTAGTGTGAGGTGTGAAAGTCATTCAAATCACCATCATGTGCTGTGCATAAGTAAAATATGTTAGTGTGAATGTTGTATTGTGCAAAAACTAAAACTAACACTCCAAGTTGATAGATCTGAGGTAAAAAGACATTTTTGATCACCCGATTGTTTTATGTTTCATCAACAACATGTTCACGACTCCAACCTAAAGTTTAGGACTCAACAATAATGTGGCTGCATAAATGTAGGGAGAGGTTTGGGGTTTAAATCCCAGATGAGCGACCAGTGATTAAGTGGTAACAACAAGAAACAGACCCACCATGTAGACACGTTGATACATTTAATTTCCAATATGAAACTGCCTTCCTGATTGCTTTCCTGTGTCCTCATTCATGTTTTCACACGTGATGACTAAGAGATTTTTGGTTGTTTTCGTCTTCAGTTTGTTTTCAAAACATCTTGAATTTTTTTCCCTACTAAATGTGTTATTACCTCATTTATTTACAGCAGTGAGTATTATAATTGTGGTTGTTACCCCCTGCTACTATAATCTCTATTGACCCCATCATTTACCAACATGAATTAAGTTAGCAGCATGATAATTCTGTTTAAAAGACCCATTAATGAATGCTGCAGGTTATTGTTGGTACACAAAATAATCTGCAGAGGGTTTCATTGGAACTGCATGAATTCAGTAACATCCTGTTTTGAACAAACAAGACTACTAATTGGTGTTGACTTGGCTATGGGAACTCTCTCTTAAAGAGTTGAGTAAACAGGGAAACATCAAGGGGCGCTGAGTTCATCCATACAGGAAACTGTTCAGTTTTCTAACATGGATGTGAGATTTCAGCCCAGTTTACTCACATGGTGTGTCCTGATTCCATATGGCATGATGACACAAACACTTTAACCTGCATTATGTTGTAAAATTGGGAATTAAATGGTTTTGGGGAAGCGTACACCCTTACATGCCATGTAAAAGGTGCACATCCAATGTGTTGCCTTGTTTACATAATGACATTTATTAACAAATTGCACTTTATTGGATTTTTCTTACAGTACACTAATTATGAGTATGGTGACGTCTATGATTACAAAGACTACAGTGAAGGAGAAATAACCCCTCACATTCCCCCCACTGCTCCACCAAAGACCGAGGTAAACCATTACTAATACCGTTCTCATAGTTGATGCCATGATAACATTAACCCTTTAAAATGCATTACTCTTCCCATTCTTTCTTATTTGTAGTTTTTGTGCTTTTAAAGATAGCATTGGACTTATTTATAGCACATGCCCCACATCCCATAAGCACATCTAAACACTAACAGCATCATCCTGTTGTGTTGCAGACACCTCACCAAGGTGTAGACATCTTAAGCAACCTAATTTCCCCATATTAAACTTTACGTTTTTCCTGTTTTGACATCAGACTAATGCCGGTGATGACTACTACAATGGAGAGTATGAATATACCAAGCTGGATGGAAGTCAGCCTGAAACTCCCACTGAGTCTACAGCACAAGGCCAGGTAGACTTTAAATGTGGAATTTGCAGAGGTGTGGACTCGAGTCATTTGACTTGGACTTGAGTCATTATTTTAATGACTTCTGACTTGACTTGATAAAATCCATAAAGACTTACGACTTGACTCAGACTTGAACGCAGATGACTTGCAACTTGAATTGACTTGCATCTGTTGACTTGATGATGACTTGAGCATATTTTCCCTCTGGGATTAATAAAGTGTCTTTGATTTAATTGATTTTATATTTTAGCACAAAAGTGGCACAACATGGACAAAAATCATAAATCATTCTTCATTCTGGGTTTGATCTTGTACTGCTAAATGCAGCAGCACTTTGTTTAAAATCAAGTTCAGTTGCACTTTACTTTGTTTGAACGAATAAATGAAGCTTTAAGAAGCTTTATTTTTGGAATTCATTTATTATCATTGTCATTAAATTGAAATTGGACAGATGACTAGATTATGACTTGAAAATTCAAAGTTAAAGGGACTTACGGAGCTTTGAATTTTTATGCTTGCGATTGCCCCCTCAGGCCAAAAGCGTAGCGGCAGCTTCAATAGGAGGCTCGTGCACAAGGCGCCCATGCTGTACGTGCACACTCCTTAACGAAAATAACAGCTGAGACGAAGCTCTGTGAAGCTGACCCCCGTCAGCTTCACAGAGCTCTGAGAGCTGATAGTCCCTTGTGTGTGTGTGTGTGTGTGGCCCTGAGGACAGAGGACAGGAGAACGTGCAGCTAATTAATTAGGGCCCAGCTAATTAGGTCTGTACCGTTCTCTTCAGCACAGCCAACAAAGGTTTAAGATGGGTCAATCCTCCTGCATGCTCAGATAATTCCATTCCCTTGCTTGAAAAATTTTTCCAAAATGAAAGTTGAACCCACATCTTTTTTATCTGTGAATTGAATGCCTTTTGGCGAGTCTCAAATAAAAATTTGGGCATCTTACTGTAAAAAAATATATCATTAATGTAAAAAAGAAACTCTAAAATGTATAGAAATGTATAGAAATCATCCAGAATCGAACCCGGGTCTTCTGCACAAAAGCCCGAAGTCTTACAAGGCAAGCTAAACCACCAATGGTGGCTGTAGTATATGTAACATTTATATCCTTGATCACAGCGGAAACGACGTTCAAAGAACGGTTCGGAGGGCTATGCCTGAGCGTGAACGAGCATGAAAAAGCCTGCTCAACCCGAGCAGCTCTCTTTTTCTGTGATTTTACACAAAAATAGGCAATTACAATAAAAATGCCAGGGCTCATTCTACAGGACCAGGGCGTTGCAGGAGAATGTATTAAGACAAAATGTATTATTTCTATACATGTTTTGACTGTCAAACTTCCATAATGCCCCTTTAAGGACTTGGACTTGACTTCCAATTCATTGACTTTGAACTCAACTTGGACTTGGTTGTCTTTGACTTGGACTAGACTTGAGACTTGACTGGAAAGACTTGTGACTTACTTGTGACTTGCAAAGCAGCTATTTGGTCACACCTTGGAATTTGCAACACGTCACAAGTTACTGAGTTTGCTTTATGTAAACAGTTGTTCTAAATCAGTCATTTTACTTACTATTGAAAGGAGAAGTTTTGCATGTGGTGTTCACATGCTGTCACGTAATCGTTTCTCCTGTTGGTGTTTAGTCAGTTTGCAAAAGATCATAATGATGCCTTAACTATGAGTTTTAGTTATAAGGATGTTGGGAAAATGTGTGTTTATTAAAACTTTTCAAAAATGTTTCCACTAATTAAACATTTTGTCTCTGTTCCTCTTTGCAACCCCTGGACCTTTCCCAGAGTTATGAAGGGGAAGTAGAGTACGATTACATCACTGGTGTAGATGAGGTCGGTGTGGACCCCACTGTTCCTGCGAAAGCTGCTGTCCCTGAGGACACCAATAAGAGTGTGGATCCTACAACTGACCAGTACGAGTTTAAGGAATACAACGTGAAGGAGTATGATACCAAGGAGTTCGAAGGAAAAACATACGACTATGGTGAATATGACGAATACGTCCCCACCGATGTCAAGCCTACAACTGAAACGTACGAAGAAAAGTTCGGCCTTGGAGTTCCAGCAGAGACAGACATCAGAGAGAGTGCTGTAAGTGGCTAGGAATGGGGTGTAATATTGTCATGGTCACTGAACGGGTGAGGGGGGTGTCATGGTGGTGATGCTCAGGAATCTTAAAAGCTGTGGCTGCTGGCTTTGCTCTGATGGAGTGTGCTTTCTCTGCTCGTTTTGTTTGTTGTTGTTAATGATTTTAGCTTCAGGCATTCTGCATACACAAGCAAGAAACACAAATACACAAGGAAACACAAACACACACCTTGTCTTCCACAGATAAACAGCTGTCGGCCCAGCTGTCAGCACAGGCTGTACCCTCTGTAACCTTTCGACCCCAGTTGCCCCCGTTGTTTATCGGAGACATACCTTACCCAGGATATCTCACCAATGATCTGTTTGTTTAATCGCATGTCAAATTTTTGCAAATGTTATTTTTTTTTTAATTTGTCAAAAAAGAACAAAACAGAAGTTGCAGAGCTAGTGTCAATAGTAGCTCGACTTCAGGCTTTTCTTTTGCCTTAAGATCCAAATTCTCAGAGGGAGGAAGTGAGATGGCCCTTATCTGGATGTTGGCTTGGGATCTGTCTGCTCTGCTTTAATCTGAACTGCTCTGTTATTCCTGCCTATGCTGCAATCCCAGCCCCACTCTATGAATTTCTCATTAAGTACCTGTTTCCTCTGCAGGCTAAACTGTACCGTCTAGTGGGTTTTGAACACAGTGGGTTTGTGGATTCCTTTCTTGTGAAGTCATTGTATGTGTAGTGTCATGTAACGACCTCTTCATCAGCACACTCGGGGGATTTTTTATTTATTATTATTAGTTTTCATGTCCAGTGGGTCGTTTCTGTTGAAGCTTTTGAAGTCAGGGATACATAACAAAATCTAAAATTTAGTTTTTGGATTAAAAACAAATTTCAAAGATATTTTAACAGTTTTGTTGATGATTATTATAACTCAAATACCCTAAAGACAAGACAATTACTACTCATTGATCACTGACCCGTACATACTGCATGTACATGTACGTAGAACTAGTTTATGGTGTTGAGGAATTTTCATGGTCTGTCTTTTATCTTCAGGTAATCGGGGGTCAGAGTTACTTGGGTCAGAAAGGAGAGAAGGGTGAACCAGCTGTCATTGAGCCTGTAAGTATCACAGGCTGGTGTCCTGATTCCTTTATTTAAGTAAACCCAGGTAAGGTGTTCAAAACAACTTCAACAAGTCAGGCTGGACAGATGAAACAAACTGGACTGATTCAATAACAAAACTCACCCAAAAATACCAAATGACCTCAACCCAGATCAGATTCTAGCCAAAAGCTGTTGTGGTAACACTTTACAAAAAGGGTCCCTTTATTAACGTTACCGTTATTGTTAAGTATTAAGTGTCCTTAAGTTTAGGACAAAGCAGTGGAGATGTCTGCTTAGTAATACATTACATAATATGGTTAAACAGTTGTTAATACTTCATTTAATAGTTTATTAATGCTTAAAAATGCACTAAATAGCATCGATAAAGGGATCCTTATTGTTAAGTTTTTTTTACCAATGGATCATCCATTTACATGTTTAAAAATAAAGCATCTCTGTCTACATCTGAGGAATTGAAAACATGTTGATTCATGAACAATCATTGTGTTATTTTAGGTCATTGAATTTAACCCTCCCACTGTCTTCATGGGTGACCCAGCCAGGAAAGTTGACCATTGAATAGGGTTGATGGTTTATCCCTTGAAGTCCACGTTGCAGGAGTGAGGAGTGAGCCCAGACCCCAGTCCCCAGTCTGGTCCAGACCCCAGTTTAGGAACCACTGGTCTACATCTAGCTCAACTAAACCAGATTTGTCAAATCGTGGTCCAAAGTGGTTTAGATTCACACACCTAATCTCACCTAAGCTAAGGAAGCATTACTAATTCAAACCCTAGAGTGAACTTCATTGCAATCAATACAGAAGCAGCACTCTGAAAGACGACTAGTGAAAAATCTGCTGCATAAATGCAGCTAATAGGTCAATGTTACATTATTTACGTAAACTTTTATTTAGTTTTTTTCTTCATATCTATTTGACTAAAGAATGCATTTTTCCAAAGATACAAATCATCTATACTGCTCCATCCACAATGACAATAACCTGATAATTACAAAACTAAGAACTTTTATTAAATCAATACATATCAAATTTACTTAAATTGATTGTAAAGCTTATCACCAAGCAGTAAAACAAATTGCTTCCAAATCTGGTTTTAGGGAAAACAAACAGATCAATACATTTCTTTCCTTTCTTTATGTGTACTACTTGAGTTTCATATCATCCCAGCACAATGGTTGTACCAAATGGTTTATTTGACTATAAAAGTCCTGAATCAGATTCTCTGCATATTTTCTCAGTAGCGGCTTCTTTTATCTCTAAAAAATCTTTCATGTGTTTGATTTACATCCACATGCATCTGACTTTCATCGATTTAACACTACAGAACCAAAACTGATTGTTTTACCTGGGATTATCTTGCCCACTAATGTGATTTAGTTCTGGTCTTAAAGACCAGACGGAGAAGAAGGGTGAACCTTCTGTACTTTGTCACTAAACAATGACTGGAATTTTAGCCATTATTGAGACCCTGGTACCATCTATATCAGCACAGGGATGGTTTAATGTTTCACATACACACAGATTACATTATGCAACAAATGATAAGTGCATTATTCTTCACCTTTTTACCCTTAAGCAAGTAAACTCCTCAACTTTTCACCCAAAGTGCAAAAATGTCTCCAGATTTCCTCCCCTGCTTCTGATTGCCTGTGAATTTACAGCTGCCATATAATGCTACTGTATCCACTTTTTTTTTTTTCCAGGGGATGCTTTTAGAAGGACCCCAAGGAGTCCCTGGCCCAGCAGTGAGTATCACATTCTCCCATTCTCCTGTCTGCTTCTCACAGATGGAGAACAGCTAAAGAGGGAAAATGTCTTTATGGAAAAACTCAGTCCTGATCGGCAGTGGAGCGTGGGTTGACGGAAACTGTCAAGTTGTGCATTTGTGGATGAGTGTGTGTGTGTGTGTGTGTGTGTGTCATGTTGGGGGAAAGATGGCTGGTTGGGTTGGGGGCTGCTGTATATTTGAGGCTAATTTTCTTCAAACTGATGGTTTCACTTCTGTCTTTGTTGGCCTCTGCCTGTGAAGCACTTGATAAGCTGACTGTGGTGGAAAGACTGCTTAGCCGTGGTTTGGGGTAATATGCTAAATGTACTTGTGTCTGGTTCCAGGGTGTTCCTGGTACCCCAGGGTTGCAAGGGCCCCCAGGTACTCCAGGAGATCCTGGTGAGAGGGTGAGTGAACACTAAAGCCTGTTTCATTGCTCCTTCCACACATTTTCTACCTGTTGCAAAAGTCCAATTTTAAGATTTGTATTTTGCTAAAAGGAGAATAAAACACAAAGAGATCAATAAGTTTAGATTTGTTAGCAAGATCCAAACTTGTCACCAGATTTGGTTCAAAACAAGATAAAATGCTAACTTTAATCCTTAGTAGCTTACTGTTTTTCCAGTATGATGTTTTTTTTAAATGCCTTAGTTGTATTTATATATCATCTTAATGACACGTGCAACAGCATGCATGAGACCGTTCAGCTCAGCTTACCTTTACAGTACTTTAACAGAAACAAAAGCTAGGCTGGGAAATGAGGTCTCTTGCAAACTGCCAACACACCAACAGAGAACGGTTGTGAATAAATGCAGTGCTGCTGTGCTTTGGGATTGCTCAGAAGTTCAATGAGTTCTCTGAAAAAAGTCTACAAAAGCTGCAAATGTCAAATCTTTCTATATAATTTCCCCCCAGCTGTTGGAAATCCATCTAGCTGTTTTTAAATTAGATACGTTTGCCATTATTTTTGAAGAGTGAAATTTTTTATGCCCATTAAGGTAATTCTATGTCTAGAAGTGAGGCCCTAATTGGCTTCCTCCAGTTGTCATTAATATAAAAGTTTTATGGTCCCACAGAACCAGCGTGATCAAACGTGATTTGTTCATTCAAAAGTCACTCTTACTTCCCTTCTTTTGTTCTCCCATGAGAAACTGTTACTAGAGATCGACATGAGGGTTAACAGGAATCTTTTTTGTAGACTTTTGGATTTCCGTTGCCGTTACCGTTTGCCTTTACTCAACGTCTAATCGGATCCTCAATTTATTAAATGCCAAATTCCTCTGTTTCACCCAAACACCACTTCCCTAGTGGTGTAAGGCCTTCATTAACACTAGATGTCGCTGTGCGCACTATCACAAGGAAAGCCACCCCCCTTGGAGTAGGTAAATGGAAACACATGGCATCAATTAGAACCAGTATGAGATTGCTGCACATGTCAAGACTGCAAAATAGATCCTGGTTTCTCAGGAAATAGCAAACACTCCTTAGGCATGTCCTAATATGTTGGGGTCTTTATGTAATGATAGACATGTAAACATGCTAATTTTGTATTGTCATCACTGAGTATGAAGAATGTTTATAAGCATTTATTTATTTATTTGCAGATTCTGTCTAAAATACCTTAATAGTGTTTGGATAAAGTGCTGTAAATCAGAAAACAAAGAGTCTTTTCTGCATCTGGCTTCAAACCGCAGATGTTTTGAGAAACATGTGCCAATGTGATACCACCCTTCACTTCATGGAGTACAATTTGGGTCTTTGACTTCTACATTTCGGTGACATCTTTGGTTTTTCACTTGAGTTTATTTTGCCAGAACTGTAGTGTAGGGGCTGTATCAAACTGAGACCCCCTGGATGGCATGCAAATTCACAGGTTAACCAAACCACCATCCAAGAAACCCAAACCATCTGTCTTCACAAGCTTTAAACTTAAATATTGCTGCTATAAAGAGTTTGTAACAATCCGTCTTAAGCTAACAGTGAACAGTTTCCTGCTCCTACGCCCTATGGTTGAAAGTGGAATTACAATTGTCATAAACAACCCTGCTGCAGCCTGCGGTAGCTAGCATTAACAACTAGCTAACATGAACATGAACCAACTAATACTAAAATAGATCATAAACTAAAAAGATCTACACTGTTGGACAAAAATATTATAACTTACAATTCCAGTAGTAACAAAGTCAGGTCACCATCAGTCCATGATTTTGTAGCCTCCTTTAGTTCCCTCAAACTAGTGTAGGCCACATTGATGTTCACTCTGGTTTTAGCTGGTTTAAGCTAACTTTTCCATATTGAGAGGAGCAAGTTGAGGTGGCTGGGGCATCGGGTCAGGATGCCTCCCTGGTGAGGTTTTCCGGGCATGTCCAACTGGGAGGAGACCCAAGGGAAGACCCAGGACACGCTGGAGGGACAATGTGTCTCGGCTGGCCAGGGAATGCCTTGGGATTCCCCCGAAAGGAGCTGGCCCAGGTGGCTGGGGAGAGGGAAGTCTGGATGTCTCTCAGCTTAGGCTGCTGCCCCCACGACACGACTCTGGATAAGCGGCTGAAAATGGATGGATGGAAGCTAACTTATGTTCTTCTTGTGTTTTTTATTTATGATCCACAAACTGAAAATGCTAATTGCTAGCATTACAGCTAACAGCCATAAATCAGATAAAGAGTTCCCCCTATAGGGCACCTACCCACACCACAAAATTATCAAGTGTGGTTTTTGGTCAGTATCATAGTAATATGAAACTGCTCATGTTTCTAACTCAACAATCATTGGCATCAATGTTAAAGCTCTAGCTTAAAGTACAAAAAAAATAAAAATAAAATAAAATAAAACAAAACTAGCTGTTGCTACTTCAAGAAAAAGGGCTCTACTTTAGAGCTTCAAGTGGCATTTTGAGAAACTGAGCGCATTTTAAAAAAGCTGTTTATTTAAAACTGTTTCTGGTTAAAAAATAAGGTATAGATTTTGAGTATTTTATGGTATTGTAAGTTTACTTCCTGGATTCATGGTCTAATAAAAGATGTGTCTCGTGGGAATCGTTCTTGAAAAGCAACTACAACTAAATCTGTCCGTTCTGTATTTTAATTGTCTTTTGACTTCTCTTTTGTCATTTGAACAAAGATACAAAATTAAGGCAAAAATTAAAAAACAGTGCTATTTCTAATTATCTTTCTAGAAAAAAGGTTGTTTAGTTTATGCTTATACAATTGTTTGATGAGTGCATTTCTTCACTTCAAGAACTGTTCAACAAAAATAATCTGAGGTTTTTCATTTTATTTATTTATTTTTTGCAGCAGCAGCTATTACATTTGATGGATTGTCGTTTGCCCTAAGCTCCAGTTGTTTTGTTTTCACAGTAAAATAAATGTAAATTTGAGATGGAACAACTTTTATTATCTTCCTTTCAAATTCACAGGGTCCCCCAGGTCGTCCTGGTATTCCCGGTTCAGACGGTGTTCCTGGACCTCCAGGTACCATTCTGATGCTTCCAGTAAGTCTGCACATGATCATTTTCTCCATCTGTCTTATTTCCCTTGCTTCCATCCAACTCAGGCGCTTGTTCATGAACTCCTTTCAGTTAGTAAATTTTACCACTCTGCCTCAACAACAGGGCAGGGATCACAGCCTTATTTTCTTTGGGTTACAAATCTCTTCCTTGTAAATGTCAGCTGGTTCAATGGAGTGGAACCAATGACGGAGAGTTTGAAATGCTTAGTGACACATGTTTGAGAGTGCAGGTATATGCGCTTGTGTTTGAGAGGAAAGAGAACTTTATAGGTTTGTCCGAGCACACCAAAAGTGTGAAAACACCCACCAGGGGATGCCTTTAGGTGTACCGGTGTGTAAAGGAAAGCAAGCCTGTTTATTTTTAATTGTGCTTTTTTATATTTTCGTGGTTGACAGTTCCGTGCCGGCGGTGAAGCACACAAAGGACCCGTGATCACAGCTCAAGAAGCTCAGGCTCAGGCCATCCTGTCTCAGGCTAGAGTAAGTATTGCTGCTAAACGTCAGCCTAACATACTGTTTAATCTGCAGTTTGACTTCAGTTTCCTACAAGCACAATATTTACGCTTTAGTTTTATTAGGAATACGGCAATATTCACATTAGACTTTGCGTAAATGTTTAAAAACATACTTGCTTCAAATAAAATCACAATTTAAGGTGAATAACAAAGGAAAAGTCACTATTAAAGAGGCCATCATTTACACAATATGGACCTGTGTCAGGCTGGGTGGTGAGCAAAGCCACAACAGATGTTCACACCCACTCAGGGGTTCTGACAACAGCACAACTGTTGAAAAAAAGGTGACTTTCTGTGCTTTAAGCTCAGTGTGATCTGTCGTCAAACACATGGAGCTCGTTAAGTGTTGCATAAAAACAGAATATTTACACGTTTGGAAGTCTATGGAGCCGTATGGCTCCCAAAAGTCATTTTTACTAATGCCTAGAAACAATTCCTCACCTTACAAGAGCATTAGTGTCAAGCCAGAGTGGAGGAATGGGAGAAAGGAGTATTCCTCCATACTTTAGAATAATACAAAAAGAACAAAGTGGGCCTTCGTTTACTGATTTTTGTGGTAAAGTCATCACAGTGGGGCACAAATGAATTTCCTATTTAGAAAACTTTGTCGTTGAAGAATCAGATTGTAACTAAAGACCAGAGAGCTTTTCTGGCTCATCCATGTTGTGGTTAAATGGTGGTAAACTGTGGACAAGAGCAAAGTAAGTCTGCCCAATATAAGTCTCTACAAAACTTCAACGGAGACTGAATGGTGCTTTTCTCTTTCTTTTCTTCATTATTTGCAGATACTCAACAGTTTTATGACCATTTAGTTCAGAAATTTCTGATTTGATTTCACAAGCCTTTGCTCTCTCTCTCATGCTTCAGTATAGGCATATCATATTTTTCTTACCAAATACCAAAAAGTATTTCAAAATTAGATTTTCTTGAGGCAAGAGCAGACTGAAATTAAACTAAAATAAAGCTAAAGGAGCCAGCATGTGTATGGTTAGCTGTCATAATACAATATTAGATGAAAGAAAGCTTACATCATTGTTACTATTTAAGGTGTACAACACTGAAAATCCATTTTTAAAATGATTATTTCTGATTAAAATCAGTAACTCTGACTATTTCAAGCAGGCTGAACATAAAAATAGTCTCCTACACCTATCTCCTGCATTAGCTTCTGATAGAAAATAGACTATGAAACTAGGATTTGAAAAGCCTGACGGATCTACATCACACTGTGAATTAACATTCATGGACTCACGCATCTTTGACAGGGAAGGTTGTTGTTTTAGCTTCCAGGAAACAGCAGAGAACATCTGGCTAGCAGAAGTTAATTGTTAGCATTAGCAACTCCACCACACAGCAGAACTCCTCCAGGCTTGTGTTATTTGTGGAGATAAAACATCGACGTTGCAGAGCTAACTAACTCAGTGGTAGAGTTCTGTTGCTGTTAGACAATCAGAGGCAAGTTGTCCAACTATCAGGAAATAGGTGACAATCTTCTACTGTAGTTCCTGGAAATTGTGCTGCATGTATTTTGCACCCCTCCCCAAATGTGACTTATTAAAGGTATTCATTCCTTCTAGAGACTTTTGCAAATGTATTGATTAAATGAGTGTTCAACACTTTTAAATCTACTGAACTCCTTTAAATTCATGACATCAGATGGATGTTTTCCGTCTTATCTCTAGCTAACAATGAGAGGTCCTCCAGGGCCTGCAGGCATGGCAGGAAGATCCGGTCTAGTGGTGAGTACAGTTTTGACACGTGTCAATTAGCTTAGCATCAATCGATTTTGCAAACAAATTAAATCAAAGAACACATTTAATGCAATTTTTTAGCTCTTTAGCTTTTATTGTTCCTCTGCACATTAAACAAATTGGGATAATACTTTTCAGTTAAACAACATATATCTAATTTGCATGATTAATTTAAATAAATACAATTTATTTCCAGTTTTATTCTGATATTGCAAAAGAAGCTGTTTTTGTGCTGCTGTGTTTTTCAAACTAAACTAAAACTCTCCTGTTTGGGTTTTCATTGCATTTCATTGCAAAATGAATCACGTCTAAGCCAGAGAGAAAAAAAAACTAAATATTTGCTTTTATTGAAGACATATTTGTTCACCAAACTGGTGTTTGTGCCCATACGTTTAATTAGGGACCGCCTGGCGCACATGGACTCAAAGGTGACAGTGGTGAAACTGGGCCACAGGTGAGATAACTCATCTTTTCCTCCTGTTTTCTGAATTTTTGGAATATTTAATTGAGACATGTTGTTTCTTAGGGACCCAGAGGTCTTCAAGGCCCCACAGGTCCACCAGGGAAAGCAGGGAAGAGGGTAAAAACACTTTCTATTTGGCTGAATGATGTTGTTTGTTATGTTTTGCATTCTTTGCAGATAATTCGCTGTAATTTTATAAATTTCGCAATCTTCAGAACAATGGTATCATTTTAGATCAACGTCTAAATAGAAAAGTCTTTTAGGTTTTAAGCATGGCCCAATTTCAAATTATTCATCTGCATCCAATAATTGTGTCTACGTGCTGTTTAAATGCTTAAACTCATGTTTATTCAGCTGGAAACCAGGTTAAAAACACGTTTATTTTGTGTTTACTGTCAATAAACCTTAAAGACAACAGTTTTGTATTGTAAATTTTATTTTTCCCTTCCTTCTCTCTGCAGGGCCGGAATGGAGCTGATGGGGCACGTGGAATGCCAGGAGAGGCAGGAGCCAAGGTAAAGTGCAAACCAATTTTAAAAAAATAAACTAATCACGAATGGTTTCCTTTTGGAGCTCTTACAGTATTATGTAAGTTTCATTTAAAACTGGTTGAATGCGATATTATTACAGCAGTTTTTTTGTGTGTTTTCTTCAGGGTGATCGAGGTTTTGATGGGCTTCCTGGTCTTCCAGGAGAGAAAGGTCATAGGGTAAGTGTGAAGAAAGTCCATGGCAATACCACAAGCATTAAAAAAGAGGTATTTTTTCCCCTAAAACACAAGATAAGATGATAAATGATGCCTCAAACACTAATCAGAGATAAATAATGAATTTCTGCATTTACCCAGTTATAGGAGTCGGCAACAACTCAATAACCCCCTAAGCAGTGTTTAACCAGGCCTCAAGGCTACTGTAGAACGCCGAGTTTAGTGTTTGTGGAATCTGGACATACATAGAAACAGCAAAGATCACAGAGTGTTATTTTTAGAGTGAATTTTAACTTCATCCTATACCGGGTAATTACAGGGCCACCAGAGGTGGTTCTGTGTCTATATAGCAATAGTAACAACCGTACAATGTTGGCTCGAGCCAGCTGCGGTGACCATGCTTACTTTAGATTGCTTCTTTCTGTGTTACCATCAATTTTCCAAATTTCAGGCCCACATCTAAGGTTTTTTTTTCTAAACCTGTAAATTAGGATCTTTTTCATAGCTGGGTTGGGGTTAGAGAGCTTTGTTGTGACACTAACTCTCCTAATTTCTGCTGATATTCTTCTCCAGGGAGAACACGGCTCCACAGGTCCTCCAGGTCCACCAGGAGAAGATGGCCCAAGAGTGAGCTGCACATTAGTTATGCATGTTGCTCTCGGATGGCTTTAAAATTGCTCTTAAATAACCCTTTTTTTCATTATTATACAGGGTGAAGACGGCCAGGTTGGGCAGAGAGGTTTGGCAGGAGACAGTGTGAGTACATCTGCTGAAGCAGGATGTTAAACTAGAGTTTTACAGTGGAAAATATTTCCATCAGATTTAAATGAGACCATCATGTTATTCCTCACCTACTCCATCCTCCTTAAAAATTCATCCTTGCAGCTATTTAAACGCTACCCTCCCATCCCTCCCTCCTAAGTGTAATGGCATTCCTGTTTGTAGAGAGTTTCTAACTATGACCTTGACACGATAGAGCAGTTTTGCATAACAGTTTTTAAAAAAGTACAATTGGGAAATGTGCTGCTCTGTGATTACCCGTGAGAAAGTTCCATATTCTGCCAAGTGCCGTTCAAATGAACCATGGGGTTGCATGAGAAGCAGTAAGCTCCCCGTCGTACCCAAAAACAGCGCTGTTCGTTTATGGGAACACTTGCACGGTGTTTCATCACACGCTTGGTGTGGGTTTAAAGAGCAAAGAGTTGAACTTTTAGTGCATATGTTAAAATTTCAGAAAAAGGGAAAATGCTTTTGTTTACACTTCACACCTGCCCCTCCCACGGACCACCCACAGGGGGCAGTGCTGCACACATTCAATAACTCCACAGCTATAGTGGCATGATTTATTCTAGGGTAGTTCATAAACACAAAGACATATTTAGCATCTTTTTTTCTAAAATGTTTTATTTTTTCATGAACAGGGTCCCAGAGGCTTACTCGGCCCCAGAGGGTCCCCCGGCCCTTCAGGACAGCCTGTAACTACGACCTTCTCCAATAAATCTTAATCCTCATCCTTCACATAATGTGCGTCCTGTCCTTCAGTGACTTTTATTGGCAATTTTGTTCTTTTCAGGGTCTCTCTGGACTTGATGGACAGGCCGGTCCCAAAGGAAACATGGTGAGAAGCATTTGTGTTTTGTTTATTTTAGAAGAAAGTGGAAAATCAGATTTTTTTAAGGACCACCTAACCGACGGGCTTGCTTCAGTGTTGGCTGGTGACCTTTAACTCCAGTAGCGAGAGTTAGACTTTAGTTTTATGGGATTTTTTTGATGGTTTTTGCAGAATGATATTAGACTTGAATAAATTTGTAGCCGTTGTCATTCAGAATGAATTAATTACTGCATCTTCTGTCAATGACACCTAATTTGTCTGCAGAAATGTTTGTTTATTTGGTTTCAAACAGCTGGAGAAAATATCCTCACAAAGGTCTTTTGTCAGTCTTTATGGAACAGCGTGTCATCTTTGAGGGAACGTTTTGTGTGTTTGGCTTCCGACGAATGGATCCCTGCTGACTAAACGTCAGCGGCGATGTCAGAACGAGTCAGACCACTAGTCAGTCTGGGAGCTCGTGGCTTTGCAGCCTTTGCACTTCCATAAATTAGATGTTTCTGCAAGTGTTTTCATTACCAAAGTTATTCTGATATGATGCTATTTGGAATGGTTAGTGGAGGAGTAGATTAAATATTAAAATGAACTTTGATGATGGAATATAACATTTATATGCCACTTTATGTTTTATTTTAGGGTCCACAAGGAGAGCCAGGTCCTCCCGGGCAGCAGGGCCTTCCTGGTCCTCATGTAATGCTTTTTAATTTGTTTTCTCTGAGTAAACTCCTTTATTCGGAACCAGTCTGATCTCTTTGTCTCTCTTGTTTTCTCCCCCACTGTATATTTTCTCATTCTCACTCTTAATCTCTCCCTTCCTCTCAGCTCCGTGCCTGTCTGTCCTTTTCATCCTCTTTGCCATGTTGACAGTGCAACAGGGAGCTGTATAATCTCCAACGATCTTCCACGTTCCTGGTTTCTGAATCAGATTTTATTTTCCTTTTTGCTCTCCTTCTCCCCCCTTCGCCCTTTTTTCGCCCTTCTTTCTTCTTTTTTAACTTATGCACTTTCTGTCACAAAACTTTCAACAGAAAAGAGTGAATGCTTTAAGAATGCTAGCATGGATTTATCAGCTGCTGATGATATGTTGCATTGAACACATAACCATCATAATGGTCGCAACGGTTTTCCGTTTTGTTATTCGGATTTAATGTAAATCAGGATGCCCAGTATTTTAGCTAGAGCTGAATGACCACTGCCAGGTGAGATTTCGAGTCCTGCTGAGTGTGACCAGAGTTGAGTTTTTGTACTGGAAAGTATGAGTAGAAACCTGCACTGATGCTTTGGAGGTTGAATAAATAAATTATTCACTTAACCACATCCACATTGTTGCATTCCAGTAAAAGCAACAGGCTAATATTTTGAACATATTGCTAACACAAGCACTATAAAATGTATGCTTAACTTAATTCAAATGTACAGTCTCTGTTTTTCTGTCATATAAATTCCTTTTTCTTTTTTTTTTGTCAATTAGGGTCTCATTGGTCCTCAAGGTCCAATCGGGCCTCCTGGTGAAAAAGTAAGTGAAGAAGAAACTTGGAAACACTTTGGTCTGCTTCTCTGATAAGTGCATGTTGCAGTCAAGAACTCATAAGTGATTCTGCAGATCTGTGGCTACGTTTTAATGCATCTACCGAACTCCTCTGAAGGCAGGAACTCGTATAAAAAAGCATTTTATTGGCTTGAACATACTTGGTACATGAAAAGCAGTTTGTGGTTTTGAAATATATATATATATATATATATATATATATATATATATAGAGAGAGAGAGAGAGAGAGAGAGAGAGAGAGAGAGAGAGAAAGAGAGAGAGAGAGAGAGAGAGAGAGAGAGAGAGAGAGAGAGAGAGAGAGAGAGAGAGAGAGAGAGAAATGTCTAACATTTTAAATAGATGTGCTATTCTGTCTACATATTTATTGCTGTATCTTTGTAGGGACCTCAAGGGAAGCAAGGTCTGGCTGGACTTGCTGGTGCTGATGGTCCTCCTGTAAGAAGCACATCTGATGTATTTTTCTTCTTGCGTTTGTTCAAATGAATCCCAATGATCAGTCGCTGAATTTGCTTTCATAGGGTCACCCGGGAAAGGAGGGTCCTCCTGGGGAGAAAGGATCAGTTGTAAGTTGAATAGTTTTCTTCAAAAGTGACTTGAATGACATCACATAGACTGGCATGGATCTAAATGTCTATGCTGATGACAAAACTGATGTTCTATGTGATAAACGTGGCACTAACAGCAACAACAACAACAATAATAATATAAAGTAAACCAATTATGTTTTTTATTTACCCAGCTTTTGTAAGAATTTTGATATATCGTCCAATGCATGTCGGCACCATAAGGTGCAGTGTGTAAGAATAACGTAGGATTTCTACAATACCAAAACAATCTAATGTCTCAATCCTGTTAAAAACATAGTTCATTCTCAGCTGGATGCAGGAGTTGTCCTTTTTTTTTTTCCCTTTCAAAATGAAGGAAGGAGGGACGTAGCTACAGTTTGCCATCAGTGAGTGTGAGGTTGCCATGTCTCCTGTGAGCTAAGAATGCAGTGCTGGCATTTGTAACTAGACTACGACCCGCAAAAAGCTCCAGAGTTGATTAAAGAACCAAAGCCAGTAACAGGAGTGACCCAAAAGTTATATCTTGTACCCCTAAGAAGCCACATCATGTTTTTGTATTATTCTAATATCGAGCGAAGCAGGCTAGAGGTTAAAGTTCAGCTAACAATGTTAACGGTAAATTCGAAGCAAACAGTCAGCTCTTAAAATATCTCAAGCTACTTTTTCAATTACAACTCATATTACAGTGAAACGTGTGTGTGAAGTGAATAATTAGTCAAACGTGGTGTTTCACTTCCTTAAATGAGTCGTTCATAGCTATAGCAGCAAGCTACAGGCAGCTAGATGGTAAAAACACTTCCTCAATTACCGTAACAAGTGCAGTAAGTGCTCCCTACCATAAAACACCTAAAAGTGCTAACACCAAATATGACAATGCATTTATCTACTTATCAACTTACTGTGTGTGTGACTCATCTTTGCTTGTTATCTAGAATCTTCTGGTGCTGATCTGTAACTGGCAACCATGAGACTCACAAAACAGGAGTGAGCGAGAGACTGCAGTAATCAAATTTAACTACAGGATGTCTTCTAACTCTATTCTTACACGCTGCACCTTTAAGTGCAATTTCCTAGCAACAGACTATGGAAATATGGATTAAATCCTCTCACTATGTAGTTAAAACAACCAACAGGAGGAAAGGCTTGACCAATATTGTTTTTGATTTCTAGGGTTTTCCTGGTCCAGTGGGATCCATCGGTTATCCCGGTCCTCGTGGTGTCAAAGTAAGCTCCATCTCCAAAAACCTTCAATACCAACATCATTTGTTTTCTGTTTTTAAGTTTGTTTTGCTCACTCACAGGGAGCTGAAGGAATCCGAGGCCTCAAAGGTGACAAAGGAGAAAAGGTAAACGCCTACTCAAACTCCTCAAGACGACAGTCACGTAGAAATGAACCTTTTTGAAAATGTTGTGTTTGTTTTAAGAAACTTCTACTGAATTGGGCAAGTGGAAAAACCATTAAAGGCCCATCAGGCTGGCGGCTGAGCCCTCGTGCCACTGAGTTGTAATGGAGCGTGAAACATCAAACTGAGACGAGATTGTTTAGCAGCACAGTTTCGGTGATTGACCTTAAGAGCTTTCTGTAGATGCCGAAGCTCCGCCATCATAACATAAAAACAAAAAGTTTGCATTCACATTCTTGACTCACAATCCAATAAATATATATAAAAGCACAGTTTTCTTACTGATCAAGATTATTATGAGGCAAGAATTACTGTAAATTGTGATTTATTGTCAATTTTACTGATGCTCTGAGTACAACGGTGAAAAAAAAAACATTTTAAAGTGTTTATTTCTTTTGAAGAATGCAACTTAATCCACTAGATGTCAGCAGAGTAAAACAGACAAATGACAACAAAGCCACATTGTTTTGCTTAGATGGTACTGAAGCTTTCCTCAGATGGCCACTAGATGTCAGGATTAATTTTTCTTTTTGAGCTTTGAATCTCTTGAATTTGAATTTGTCTTTCAATAAATTTCTGTGGTTTATCAATAATCGGTCAAAAATTAGTCAAGGCTAATTTATTTATGAAGCTAATTTAGAACAACTGCTAACAAATATAATAAACTAGTTGATTTCATTTATTTCTGTGGTATATTTATGTTATGTTTATGTAAATATGTGAAAAATGGTAAATATGACCCATCACTCAGCTGTGAACAATCCTGCTTTAACTTCCAGGGAGAAGATGGGTTTCCTGGGTTCAAAGGGGACATGGGAATCAAGGGGGACAAGGTATTTGATTGTTTTTCAAATAAACGTCTATGGCTGTAGTGGAAAGAAAACATAATCACAAATGTTACATCGGTTTTCTCTGCTCTCAGGGCGAGGTTGGTGTAAATGGACCCAGAGGAGAGGACGGTCCTGAGGGTCCCAAGGGGAAATCGGGACCAAGCGGAGAGACCGGTCCGTTGGGTTTAGCTGGAGAGAAGGTAAAGTTCAACCCTGACAAAGGACTTACGGACTTACTGTGCTTAATTTATTTTGTGTGATAACAAAGAACCCTTCTACGGAAATAAAATAGAAATTTTACTTTTAATTTGTTATTCAAATAAATCAACTGACCGGTTACATCATCGTCTGCCCACAACAACAAGGTGAAATAAGATTGTGCACAGCAATCAAATATTTGTGTCAAATTAGGTTTATAGCTTTTTTAAGACTCCCAAAATCTTTGATGTTGCAGTCAGAATTTAAGTTTTTTTTTTCTTCTTAGGGAAAGCTTGGAGTGCCTGGACTGCCTGGATACCCTGGAAGACAAGGCCCCAAGGTGTGTAACTGGTGTCATATATCCTCTCCTGATCAAAGGAGCAACATTCAGTCATTATTCATCATTGAAAAAGTTCTACAAGCAGCTGATGACAGCAGAAAACTGTTGTGTTAAATATTTTTCATTACAGCAAGGATTAAATAAGGCCATCTGTGGGGTTTCACTTATGTACACCTCCATTGATTAGGAATCTTTTTTTGTTTGCAGCCCTACTGATCCAAATCTGCCCGTTACTAAACTTTGCCCATCATGCCTTTCTAAAATCTGCTGACTAAAGCTTTGACCCGCAGACACAAACTCAGCCCGACACCTACTGTACACTCCCCATGACTCGTACAGGGAGCATAACAGGCACGGTCATCCCTTGTAGTCGTCAGCTGTCCTCCCTCCTTAAACCACAGCTGTTATTATCTAAGAGTCTCGCTCTCCTTGTATCGCAGCGCTGCTGACCGTTCTGCTGCTGCTCCACTATCAGGATGTGCTGCTGCAGCTGGTTCCTCTCTGCTTCTGTCAGCACTGACATCTTGGCACCGATCTGACCCGCTTTCGCAGCATTCAAGTCGGCATGGCTCCAACTCTGTCCTAAAGTCAGCCAAACCTGAGCTGAGTGCATCTCAGAAATTAGGCTCAGGAGGGTTATGTTCCTAATTCATTAATCCCAGCAAGGCAGAACAAATGAATTAATTCATATTATGTATTTCTGCTCATTTAGTTTTAATTTGTGACATAAAATATTATCATAAGTTAAAGGTGAAATGAGACAAAATATAACAGAGAAATAATCACTAAACAGTTTAATGTCGCATGTTGGAAGGAAGGTTACATTGAAACAGATGGGGGCGGGGGGTCAGGTTTCCTCCTTTTAAACAGTCTAAAAACATAGCCTTGGCTTACTATCTGTGAGCCCATGAGGTTGCCAAGTCTGCACCGACAAACACTGCTGTACCAACATTTGTTATTCAACGGTCAGCAAAAAGCAGCAGCTTTGTGAAGAGAATGTTAGCCAGTGAGAGGAGCAGCCCAGAAGTTATTTTTTTTTATCCCTAAGAAGCCAAAGCATCTTTTTGTTTTAATCTAGTATCAGGGGAAGAAGGCTAGAGGTTGAGCTAACAATACTAACGGTGAATCAGCAACAAATACTCAGCTATTAAAAAAATTCCAACAATTACCAACAACTCGACACTATAGTGCAATGTATTTATCTACTCAATCTACTGTGTATGAGTCGTCTTTGCTTTTCATCTAGAATCTTCTGGTGATGATCTGTAACTGACAATGGGTGAGGTTAAGCATCAGTGTGTACAGTCGTGTCATACCGGTTCTTTTCATTTCTTCAGCTTGGCCCAACTCTGTTCCAACGGTACGATATGATACGTATCACAATACAATGTATCACGATATATTGCGATACATTCAGGCAAATGGTGAGATTTTTTTAGCCAGGATGTATTGTAGGAATAGTCAATAAACAGTCCAAACTGATACTTAACATGTTTAACACGAGGTATCTGAACCATAACAGAGAATTTCAATGGTGGAAACAAAACCCATTGCACACTGCTGCCAACTACAGTTGGCATTTGAATTGCACCAAAAATGAAATAAAATACACAAATGTTTGCTTGTAAACTCTTCCAAAAATTAGATACACAGCTTTTGTATATCGATATAATATCGCACGAAAAAATATGACGATACATTGTCATATCGATAGTTTTGATAAACCGCTTTAGAGTTTATTTAACCTTTATTTATCCAGATGAATCGATTGAGAACTAATTCTCATTTACAGTGACCTGGCCAAGAGGCAGCAGCAACAGACACGTAGTTAGCTTTACATCAGAGAAAAACAGGTAAGAAAAAAAATGCAAGATAAAAATAAGATAAAACAATCAGACATAAAGACAACGGACTGTTCTCATTTGCAATATGTACAAGCAGTCTAAACAGACTTAAAACAATCTTTAAGTACTCAGAAGCAGGCACATATCGATATGAATATCAATACAATATGCCTGGAAAAAATATCACAACATGTTGCCATATAAATATTTTCCTACATGCCTACAAATGTATCTTCCAATCCTTCGGCTGCCATACACTGAGAAACGTCTTTAAAAATGTTTATTCCTTACCGATCCGTCTAGCTCGGCCTGAATGTGGCTATTGCCAAAGATGGTGAGGAATGTTTGAAGCTCTATGGGTGACCTATCCTTGCTGCTACTTGCTGGAATTCTCTCACATCCGTGTACAACTAATGATATTACAAACAACAAAACTCTGGGATTTGTTTCGCTTGACGCAAGTAGTGACACATTTCTGTCCCCCAATCAGTGGACCGTGTTGTTTTGATGCTCCGCCCTAGCCATACTGCTCCATTGTCCTATAGACCTACAAAATAAGGGTATGGACAAACATAACAGCGGCCCAGACTCGCCCTATCTTGTCCCACATCTCACAGTGGAACTGAGCTATTAGCCAGGAAGAGGATTTCCCCCCTTCCTCTGTCAGCCTCTTTTGGCTGCTGCCCCCATCACTCTCTGTTAACAGCTTCCTCACATCGTTAATTCTGGATGCCTTTTGGGAAAGCATCAGCAGACTGCCTTACCTCTGTGGCACAAGTCATGCTTGCCCAGTACCTGCTCTTCTTTCAGTTTGCTGTAACGGCGCCTCTGTGAAAAGCAAATTAAGCACCATAGCTCTCCCTTTCTTGCTGTTTGTACAATGTTGGGGTGTTTGTAGCAGCTTTGCCCATGCAACATTGTTGTTGTGTCCTTGCCTTTTCTGCACACGTTCTTGTTATAGATTTATATACACAAAAAACAGCACTATGATTACGTGCTGTATCAGGGAATGTTTTAAACACTGACCACATAAGCGCGTGACATTGGTTCGTAGCTGAGGCTAAGGCATACTTGACTTAAGCTAAGGCTATTTATGCTGCTAAAGTCTTCAAAAAGTAAGGTTATACTTCAGGCTTTATGCTAATCTTTTAATTTAGTCAACAGTAATCGTTGTACTAGTATGTGTTTGACTGGCGCCGTTGTTTCTATCCGGGAGCACAGCCTGCGAAAAACAGAACTAATGTGCTGATGGGTATCAAAGAGTTTCACTGTTTTCCTGCACTTTATCTCTCTTTACTCCTACAGCTTATTTTGTTCTCTGTGTTTTTCCTAACTCTGCTAAACACCCAACCTAACCTCTGTCACTAACTGATGCAAGAGCTGTTCCTTTGAACATGATCAAATTATGAACCTTGAAAATGAAGAAATCCTATTTTATTTGTAGTTTAGAGGAATGAAAAAAAGGAAAATCTTATTGTCAGTTACATTAATTCACGTTTTTTGTCTTCCTTTTTCTGATCTAATTTATTCTTGCATTGCAGGGTTCCAATGGCTTCCCAGGATTCCCTGGGGCAAATGGTGAAAAAGGAGCAAGGGTGAGCACAAATATGTCAATACTGTACACATTCAGTACCTCTAAGTTAGTTTTACACAACATAAGGATGATGAAGTCGTGTAGATGGTCTGATTGTCAATCACAGAAGGAAGAGTGCATCTCAGGGCTCTCACTGATAAAAATAAGTTCAACAGCAAGTCATTTGGCTGAATGTTTGACATGAACCTAAATCGCGTGTGATCATTTTGAACACTACATGTGTATGAAGTGGGACATCTGGAACATCTCCTTTCTAAAACTACCAATCAGCTGGTTTATTGACCCACTTTCTCCAAGGAAGACTTGAGTAAAATCACTCAGGGTAGTTAGATCTTGTGCAGCACTTTTAGTAGGAATCACGTTGGCGAGTAGCCTAGAAATCTAGACAAACCAGAGCGGGAGCAAAATATTTTGTTCTGCAGATTGGTCTAGCCACAATCCATTGTAGCCTCAACAGGTCTACTACTGGACCGAACAGTTTTGTGTATCATCATCATCATCATCATCATCATCATCATCATCATCATCATCATCATCATCATCATCATCAACAACAACAACTTTATTTATATAGCACCTTCCAACTGCCAGAAGGCAAACCAAAGTGCTGTACATGTGGAGGTTGTAGACTGAATAAGTTAAAAACAATAGCCTTTATTCTGTGATTAACAGGTTAAAATATTTGATTTATTTCGTAATGTAGAAGACAAGTTTATCTAAAATGCCATTTAGCTAATGAGTGAGAGTTAAAATGCACTGCAGTTTAAGATCGAGTGATCTGTGATAGATTATTCCTGCCTTGTCAAGACGACACAAAATTTGCTTATGAAAAGTGCTTCTGATGTATTTGCCTAAGTATTATCTTTTATGTTTACAGTTTTATCTATTTTTGGAGACCAATTGCTATTCTAGAGAGTGTTATTAAACGTTTTTAGCTGGGTTGGCATTGACTAGTCAGGTCTGAGTTGGCGCGAGGGGAAACGCAGAGCTTCCACTCATTCATTAATACAGTGGAAATGGCTGAACTCATCGTGCATGCGTGGTTCCTTCTCTATTCCCTTTTACAGGTAAAAACTCAGACTGTAATCCGTTTAAATTTATATTCATGTTTTCTAAACATGGGAAAGGCCAGGGAAATGTTTGCAGGAAAAACTGAGCAAATAAAGCCAGGTTAGAAAGTCCAATGTGCTAGAGTAGGTCCCCTGCTGGCCGAGTTTCATGATGGCGGCTGTAGGGAAGGTTCTAGATTACATCTCCACATTTTCTAGTGAGGTAAAAAAAGGTGTTAAAAAGCTAAACTGTGCTTTTATCTCTTATATAAAGAAAGATCTTGTTGTCCATACTGCTTTGCATAATTCCGGAGGATAATAAGCAATGCGGTTTAGTTTTATTTTGTATGATTTTCTTGCACATAGAGTAATTGTAATGCAGAAGTTTTGCCTTATGTTCTGAAAATTCATTAATACAGTGGAAACGGCTGAACTCATCGTGTCTGCGAGGTTCCTTCTCTATTCCCCTTTTACAGGGGTATAACATACACACATTAAAAACATCACTGACACAATCACAGCCAATCACAGCACTCTATGTTTGTAGAAAGATACTGGGCGGGCTTGGCACCAGAGCTGCGATGAAGAAAAACTACAAAGATGGCATCAGCCTGGGAACGATGCTCATTTGAAATTGCTTTGGAATCAACTTTAGACCATATAGTCTTGAGCTTTACTTTGAAACATTAGCAGATTGAAGTACTTGTGTCCTTTATTTTGAAATAGGGTGTATTTGCTACTTCACTTTGTGCTTTGCTCTGATTGGTCATAGCGCTGTCCAATTGCATGCGGAGACAGTTTGAAAGACAACAGCAGATTGTACTACTGCGCTCTGTCTATGGGTCATGGACAGACTTCTTAGTTGGTGAGGGGTTTTACATCAAACCTCAAATGTGTAACAAACCGTAAACAAAATGAAAAATTCATCCAGATTTAATTTTTGCAGTTCTGTTGCAAAATCCAATGAAGTCTCTGATTGTTTGCAATTTGACTTCACCAACCCCACCAAAATGGAATGCTCCTTTCTAAATCATAGATAAGATCCAGACTCCTGTGACATATTTATTTTGCAGGGAAATGATGGAACAAAAGCATTAAATGTCTCATTTTTGTTGTATTTTAACATGTTTTGTTGAGTCAAAATGTGCACTGACTGAAAATGCACCATGAGGTTCCATATCAGCTACAGATCCTAGTTAGCATGTTTCTGAACTTCATTCTTTTTTACATTTTTCAAAAAGCAGATATGCAAACATCATAATCATTTGTTTTATTACTTGTATTATTCCTGGCCTTGTGAAGTGAAAAGGACCTCTCCAGAGCGTTAGCTTCTGAATTCTACCGTGCGAACGAAACTGTTGAGTCACTCAGGCAAAAAGGGTTACAGCTGAATGGAGGACAGTGAGGGATGCTGAAGGATGGGCTTTGTTATGGACAAGCTCATCTGTTCTCTCAGACACTGAGATGCAGACACGTCTGGCCCCAGAATTCCTGAAGTGACAGGTAGTTCCAGCTGTCAAGTGCCTATGAGCAACCACTTACCACAGCGATCTTATTATTTATTTATTTTTGTCCAGTGATGCTCTGATGGTTCTATTTCATCCATGACACTTGTACCTTCAGCAGCTGCTGCTGTCTAGTGTTTAGGTTCATTTGGAAATGCAAATTAGAAACATGGCCGAAACATCTGCACACAGAATAATTAAAAACTAGTTTTGTTTGAAATCAAATAATTTCTTTTTCTTTTTCAGGGAATTGCTGGAAAATCCGGCCCCAGAGGGCAACGAGGTCCAACTGTAAGCAAATCATCTGTCTAACTAAACACACAAGCTGAAATCATAACAGTATTTGTGTTTACATGTTTTGTATATTTTCAAGCAGTTAACATCAATTTTATTCTTATTTGGATCTGATTTTACTCATGAAATTAATTTATGATTAACAAAGGGTCCCCGTGGAGGACGAGGAGCAAGAGGACCGACAGGAAAACCAGGTGCAAAGGTGAGATGATTAAATGTTTTAATTGAGAAACACAGATTTATTATGAATCCATTAACATTTATGGTTTTGTGAAACATCTAAATTTTTTTATGCAACTGGATTATGTCCATGTGTTACAGTCTGTGAGGTGTGAGAAAGTTTAAGATGCTTCTCTGTGGCTTTTCTTCCTCCACAGGGCACCTCCGGCAGCGATGGACCTCCTGGCCCACCCGGAGAGCGGGTTAGTGTTGGATTTTATTTCATCGTTATCTTGTGTTTTGTTCTTACTCTTTCTGCAGTGACAACAGAAAACACATCAGGAGCTGTATGTCTGAATCTAAAGTCAAAGTCAGTTGAAGGTCTTTGTTGCATCAAATTCCAACACACCAGAGGCTGAACTCAAGTTATTTATTGTTTATTTGTTTTTGCAAGATAACGTCATTGGGACTGGAGAAAAAGCTACATTTACTAACTTAATTGCAACCTAATTTCCAACTAAATTGTCATTTTGTCATATTTTTCTGATTTCTTTTTGCTGTTTAGGGACCGCAAGGACCACAGGGACCTGTCGGTTTCCCTGGACCCAAAGGACCAAATGTAAGTAGCTCCTGTCAAACTGTCAGTGAGCTTTTACTACCAATAACAAGGCTGACCCTCCTCTCATGAGCTTTTCAAATTGTTTTACATTTATGATGTTGTTGATTTCTGTCAAATTGTACTACGCCAGGGTCCAGCAGGTAAAGATGGGCTGCCCGGTCACCCTGGACAGAGGGGAGAAACGGTCAGTGTATAACTTTTTTAATAGAAATTCTGACTGTCATTCTGACTCCTGATACAGTTTAGATTAGTCACACACACACACACACGCACACACACACACACACACACACACACACACACACACACACACACACACACACACACACACACACACACACACACTCACACACACACGCACGGGTTTATCGTGTCTCGTGGGACACATGTCCAGGAGGTGAAATGTGAGGACTAAAGCTTTAGGTTTAAATCTGAGATATAGGCTCTATTTTAACTTACAAACATGTTTTTGGGACTAAAACTTTTGCAGAAAGTATTAGAAAACTCCAAGGAACTGAAAATGAAGCAATGACTCATTCAAACAATGAATATTGAACAACTGCAGGTACATCAAACAAAAACTACTCATTAAATGGCATGTAAAGGTGTATATTAAATCAGGTGATTAAAAAGGTTTGTGTACATACAAATGTGGTTTACAAATGTAGAAATGAAACTTTTAATTTCATGATCATAATTTTAAAAATATTCCCTAAATTAGACTATTTGTAAAGGAAACATTTGGAATGGGAGTCACACTACATAGTTATAGTGCATGTTATTTGACCTTGCAAAACCTTATTGATAGAATATTTTTGCTTTACTTCAATTTCACACAGATTGTCTAAAATGCTTTAATTATATACATTACACACAGTTCATTAGAGAGCATTAATAAATTATATACCATCAATAAAGCACTATTTCAACATCTCATCAGGGGGTAGGGAGCAGGGGTCTTCATAAGTAGTTTCTGCTCGTTAGGCAACAATAGGCAGCTACTGTTTATAAGCTTGACTATCCCAGAAGCAAAATGTCTTCAAGCAACGTCTTTGGATTACCGTGACCTGGATGACTCACAACCTTAACCATCACATTTTATATGAAATAGAGCAAAAATTTTTATGTTAATAAAATGAAAATTATTATGTTTACCTGAAAGCGCAGTTGTGTTTTTTATTTTATTTTTTTAAATGTCATTCGGTACCAGCAGAGACATATATAGGAATAATTATGCAACTTGATGCACGTTGATTATTGGTACATGTTTGTCTCAGATTTTCACTCATGTTTTTGAAACATTTCAGGGCTTCCAAGGAAAAAATGGACCCCCTGGACCCGTAGGAGTGGTTGGACCTCAGGTACAAATAAAACATTGTTTGTTTGTGTGTTAATTGTTCTTCCTCGGTGTGGATCTGTGGTTGTAGAGTCGGGACATTTCAAAGTTTCTCTGTGTACCAATAGCTCTTAATTAAAAAGACTGGTATGCAAAATCTTGCTACAAGTAGTTTTAAAACATTGTTGAATAACTCAATTCAATTCAATTGAGTCATTCATTTTTTTAAACACTGAACCTTTTTAACTTGAATCTTATTAAGTTGAATCTGAACTGGATAAAATTATTTTTGTCTTGAGGTTCACACTCAGGGCTGAAACGCAGTAATTACTAATGTTCTGTTCACATAAAAGAGTCAACATGAACACCTGGCTTATGGACAGTTCTATCTATTGTTGGTTCTGTGGTCTTTTGACAGGGACCGACTGGAGAGACAGGACCAAGTGGAGAGCGAGGACACCCTGGTTCCCCTGGTCCACCTGGAGAGCAAGGTTTACCAGGAGCTGCAGGAAAGGAGGGTGGAAAGGTGAAAATAAATGCATTTGTGATACCTGTTCATTTGTATCCATTAAAAATTTACACTACTGAACTTTCTTATTTTCTCTTATTTATTGACCTTGGCCAAGTCTCTTTCACATATTTTCTTTAAACTTTAAAAACTTTAAAAACTTTAAAAGTTGTTTCTTTATACAACCTGTGCAAATTCATGCCCATATTTCCATCAAATGCCATGCAAAAAAAAAGAAAACACACATTTTAAAATGTCTATTTTTAATTAAGGGAGATCCAGGTCTTCAGGGTCCTGGTGGCAAGGTGGGGCCTCCTGGCCTTAGAGGTTTCCAAGGGACAAGAGGTCTTCCAGGAGCTATGGTAACACTCTTTCCCATTTCACCACCTTCATTTATACGTATGAAGCATGCAAATTGACATCCTGGTTATCCTCTCAGTTGATTTTTAGCTCTAAACATCAGTTACCAGACTAACAACCTGCTGGTCAACCAAATGTCAGGCTTGAGAGTTGTTCATGATGAAATAGCGTACAACTGGCTCACATAAAACTATGAGAGGAGTAAGCAACAGAATATTGACAAGTACTAAAATTAAGTCAGTAGTTTTTAAGCAAGTTGCTGCAAAAAATGTGTCATCATTTCCACCAGTGCAAGTTTAGGCGGCCCTTATTTCATAGACTTGTGCAATTAATTAAAGTTGTGCAGGTGAATTTGTTTCATTTTAATGGATGTCTTCCACTTTCAAACATGTCATGTGACTATGTTACGTGTAAATTTTTCTTATTCTCCCCCAAAAAAGGGGAGAAAACAGTTGAAGGTGAGAGAAGAGGGCTATTAGAGGCTGCATGAGATCTGTGTGAGGGACTGTGACCAGAGCTCATTTCAAGGCTGACCATTAAGAGAGCATGCAACAGCGCAGAGCAGACTTATTACAGCCATTGTGTTTGTCCCATGTGTGCAGAGGGATGATGTTCCTTTAATAATGGAAGCACACACACCAAATACAGGCAAACACACACACACACACACACACACACACACACCCTTTCATGAGTCTATTGGGTTAGTGACAGCAAGTATAAATTTCTCCTTGTTTTTTATAAAACCCCCACACATACCCCCACAAATGCGTCCTTATCCCATCTTGAGAAAAAGGCACGGTGGTAATATTTGTGCCAAAAAATTACTTCATGAGCTCAGCATCGAAAAATGCTTCTAGCCTCTTACTGCACTGTGGAGAAATGAGCCAGAGAGGTGGGGAGCCTGCTTGGCAGCCTCTGCACCCCCTGGCTCTGCTGGATCCTGTAAATGAGTTTTTATAATAAAAGTCTTTAGCACCGTCAGTCAGCTGTGTTTTCCACATGCAGCCACAGCCTCCTTGTGCTGTGATTCAGCACGGCCATTGGCATTCAGAGGGCTGGAAACTCAAAGCGATGATAAGGGTTTACAGATAGATGGACTATAACTCAAAGTTGTGACTCACTGTGGGCTTTAGAACCTTTTCATCTCCCCTCTCTTTTCATATCCTTTGAAGCTTGTGTAATGACTTCTATCACATTCTTTATATGAATACGCTTACAGGTTCGGCTAGAACATCATTTATTAAACAACAGACACTTTACCTCTAATAGGGAACTGAGTTGCAGCCTAATGAAATGTTGGAAATACATAAATGTGTGTTTAATTGTGTTAATACTGAATTAGCACTCTGGTTTTTGGACCTTGGGCAAATTGCTCTCTGATTGAGGGTTTCTTGCTTTTGTTGTCATCAGATGTTTACAAACGTGATCTTTTGGCTATCTTGATGTAACTTTTCTGCCCCAGCATAAAAATAATCTACACATGATGGGATGGTTGAATTTTTCTTTTTCTTTTTTTTTTACATGCCTCAGGACAGATGAGAAAACGACTAGTTAGAGTAGAGCCAAGACCCCAAAAAAACCTGATTGTTGGTTTGTTAAAGTTAAAGTACCATTAGTCTTCAAACACATCTCAGTATTCGACCCATCCCCATGGGGAGCTGTGAGCTGCAGGTGTGTCCACGCTCGGGTACTATTTGATGGTTTAACTCCCCAGTTGAACCTCCTAACTGTGAAGCATTGGATCCCAAGTCTTCAGTATGACCCGACCGTGGATTTGAATCCACAATCTCTCAGTTCCAGGGTGGACTCTAATACTCTAATACCACTACTCCACTGAGCCCGTGAAACTGAATCTAAATCAGAATCATCTTTATTGTCATTGAACTAGCATCCTGGTACAAGGACATTTGACTTCACAGCACAACCTGACCAAGAGATACACACAAACATATCATCAAAACAGGTTCAGGCAGGCTGTGAAAGCAGCCACTTCACGGCACTCACGGGGGTGACTTCGGGAGGGAATAGGGAGATAAACAGGACCCTGATCCCAGCGGGGGAAGAGTTGGGGTTCAAGGGAAACACATCAAACATAAAAGCACATTTTTAGACCACAACATTAATGCACGAGTGGTGGATGGGGGAGGCAGGGATCTCCTTTGCACCAGGAGGGTTTGCACCCATCCAGCATGCAATCCAGTCTCCGCTGCTCCAAGGTGTGGAGGAGATTCAGAGAATAATTTTTACAGTTTTTACACAGTTTGCATAAGCTATTCTATAAATATACATATGTCCCCTTTGCAACTTCAGTTTGCTTTACTTTTCCTCTCATTCAGTTGTGTCTTATTTTCTCCAGTAGCCGTCTACTGGACCAGCTAGCCATCCAGTAGCCCTCCTCTAAGTGACTCTGCTAGAACCAGCTTTTTAGTCTTGTGACAGAAACAAGTGATCAGATTTATTGGAAAGTGCTAAATGCAGAGTGTTTTAAAGAAGCTTAAGCATTTTCTTCTGGCCTTTGAAACTCTGCAGCCAAAGACATGCATCATGAAGAAACATAGTGTGTCATCAGGTGGTTAAACACCTAAGGTGTATGTGCATGCCGCACAAAAACTGTGTGCAACAGAGAGTAAACTTAAAAAATGACCAATAAATCGGATTGTGTAAAAGCAAAATTTGTTGTCACTGACATGTGAAAGTGGAAAAAGTCCTGCCGACCACTGCAGGTATATTTTACAATGATATCCGTTACTTTGTCTTTTCTGAATTCCCTCCATTGTAAGTTGGTGTGCATACTTAATTATGGAGACACACGTATGGGCATTCATATGGCTATTTGACAGCTGCCATTGCTGCTTTTTGAATAGCTTTGAGAGGTGGTTCAGTGTGAGCAATATGTAACCCTCTCCTGTTCTCTGTTTCAGGGTCCAGCTGGCTTAAAGGGAGGAGAAGGGCCTCAGGGTCCCCCTGGCCCTGTTGTAAGTAACCTGTTACTATGGTTACCTCATCTCTAGCCACAGAGAGTGCAAGGAATAGTGACTTGTGTGTTTAGATAATTGAGCTGTGCATGCTGTGCGCAGCTTCATCTTCTGGCCATTCAGCAGCAAGTGTAATGTAAACTGCAGTGTTGAGAATAGCTGAGGGGAGTGTGGCGGTATGGAGGAAATCTATTCTTCCACAGATTTGAAATGTTACTTTAAATGTTTATTATTTTTGCTAATACTTTCTATGATGTCCTCTTATACATTAACGTAGTTTATGTGGAACACGAGGTCAGATGTTTTTAAACTTTATTTACAAACCAACTTTAACAGTGACATTTATTGTTAGAGATCACTGCAGCTCCTGAACGGCAGTAAATTCTTCTGTTTAGCTTAAAATCCATGGTCTACATATGTGTAAATCTGAGCTAGAGCTGCTGCTTTATTAGCCATGTTCTTAGCCATGAAATGTGACCTAATCGCTGCTTCACTGTCTAATCGAACAACAGCCAGTTTAATTCTTGTTGCTTGACTAGTCATGGGTGTTTTCTTCACAGTTGCTATAGCAACTGTTGTGGCAGATGGATAAATAGCCTTTCATTTGTCTACTTTTTAGAAGTCTTTTATGCAAGACCACTTGTGGAGAAAGGGTTAGGGTTACCGACCTATTTGGCATTAATCAATGCATATGATAGCTTCAATATTAGAATATATGATGTACATTTGGTTACCATCAGACTGTGTTTTTGACTATTAAAGAGGAGTAGGAGGGGCAGAGTTATCCAATAATAAGTGGGATGCTTTTTGTTCCTGCCTTAGTCTCCAACCTCTCAGTTAAATATAAAGACAGCAAAAAATAGAGATTTTTGTTTCCTTATTTGACTGACAGGTAGCTTTGAACTGGCTGTCATTTTGTTCGAGCGTTAAACGCAGGCTCGCGATAATTGCCCCATGCTCACCAGCAGCGACGGAGCAACGCTATAGATGACAGCAGATATGCAGGGCAGGGATGAAAAGATGATGAAAGAAAGAAGCCTTTGAACGAGCGAATCCATTTCCTCTGCGAAGTGAGACAGTTTTCCTAAATTGGCTTGAAAAGTGAACCGTTTCCTGGATTCAGGTGATGGGCTGTTATGGTAATGTTTGAAAAAATAAATAAATAAAGAAGGCAGTATGCGGCGGGCACACACACGAGATATCTGATATTTTCCTCCATCGATTTCCTGCCAGAGATCAAGCCGCCGTTGTGCAATTGTAAAATGTGTGTGTGTGTGTGTGTTCCTTTTTCATTGTCTTTTTAGAGGCTTGTGTATCAGAAGGAGGCGGACCGAGAAAGATTACCACAAAAAAAAAAAGAATGAAACAAGTTGTGTGTGTGTGTGTGTGTGTGTGTGTGTGTGTGTGTGTGCGTGCGTGCGTGCGTGCGTGCGTGCGTGCGTGCGTGCGTGTGTGTGTGTGTGTGTGTGTGTGTGTGTGTGTGTGTGTGTGTTTAAGCACATGCTGCTACTGCTGTTGTTGTTTCTGGGCAAACAATCAAATGTGTGGGAAGAAAATGTGAATAAAACAAAGGGAAGAATAGTAAACTATATTCTGTCAAACGTACTCCGGTGGAGGATTATATCTGTGTGTGTTAGTCCTGGTGGGCAGATTGGCAGGTTTTGGGTGACAGTTTGAAGCATCGTGTGTGTCATGAAATAGATCAGGCATGATGTGAGGATGCCAGGTGCACGGCAGCTCACATCAGCAGCTGATTCAGTGAGCAAAAGTGTGAATGGGCTGGTTGTTTTTGCCTGTTTATGTACAAATTGTATTTTGTTTACTTATAAAAGCAGCCCAAGACTTTCCCTGTGACACAATGACCAATGATCATAAAAATGGTGGTGTTTAAGGCCTCCTATTTAGTGATGAGCTTCCACCTTAGAAAAGTCATAACACAAAAGTAAGACAATGCTGATGATGGAAAAGATTGCCCAGACCTTATAATGCCTTGCCAGAGGAAGTTAGTTTGCTCCTGTTAGTCAGGAAAACAACTGAAGATGTCAACTAGATGCTGTTGAAAACACCTGACAGGGTTTTATGCATTATTGGTCTAGACAGTAAATTTGTAGTAAAACTGAAATTTCACCTAGGAGCAGAATAAAAAGCTTTACAGGAATTAGATTTAGATTTATTCAAAATGTACATGACAACTTCAATGTGTGTTTTCACCTGGATTTGTTTTGGGGTGTTTTTCAGTTCATTTCATCTGAATAGAAAGTATGTTAAAAGTAGAAAAATATATAAAACAATTAAAACATTATTTCTGATTATAATCAGTCACTCTGAGTTTTTCATGCAGGCTGTACATGAAAATAGTCTCCTACACCTACCTCCTGAATTAGCTTCTGATAAAAAACAGACAGATCTACATCACTGTCACTTAAATTTCAGCATCAAATGTTTACATCCAGGAAACAGCAGACAATGTCTCGGCTAATAGAAGCTAGCCATTAGCATTAGCAGCTCCACCACATGGCAGAAGCTCCTCCAGGCTTGTGTTATTTGTAAAGCTAAAGTATCAATGTCGCAAAGTGGTAAAGTCACATGCCGTTGTCCAATACGGAGCGAGATGACCAAACATCAGGAAATAAGACTTCAAGTCCTGTCGTCTGAAGTTCAGCTGTGATAAGGAAACTTTTAGGTCTGAGAAATGGTTCACCGTTATATTTCCCCCAAGTACGACTGGCAAGGAATTAATTCCTATAGACCACAAATGTGTTGGTTAAACGACTAAAACCCTCCATTAAATAACAGGGTTTACAGACCTTGTCGTCATTCTAAATTATTATTTCTATTGGAATTATTCAATGTGTGTGTGTGTGTGTGTGTGGGTGTGTGTGTGTGTGTGTACTTGTCTATACATCAGAGTGAGAACCAATGACAAACTTTTCACCTGTAAACTGAGAAAATTAGTAGCAAAGTGAGAACATTTTGCCTGCTCCTCACTTTGGTACAATGTTACAGGGTTGTACTCATTAGCTTTAGAGGTCTGGTGTGAATTGTTTTAGGGTTAGGCGCAATCCAGTCACTAAAATAAATGGAAGTCAATGACAGTCCTCAAAATGAATGTAAGATGAGAATGTGTGTGTATTACATACTGAGGACCATTTGACCATTTTCCCTACAAAGTGAGGACATTTTATTGGGTCCTCACTTTTTTTTTAGAAGCTTACCAGAAGCTTACTATACCAGTTAGAGGTATGGTGTGAATTAAGTTTTAGTTAAGGTTAGGGTTAGGAATAGATCAGCAATGGTTAAGGTTAGAGTTGGGGAGTTGGGGTATAGCAATAACTGATGGTGTTTGATGACAGGGTTCTCCTGGTGAGAGAGGTCCGGCTGGTCCTGGAGGTCCTATTGGTCAGACAGGACGGAATGGTCCACAAGGACCACCTGGTCCTGCTGGAGAGAAAGGCGGTCCTGTAAGTTTATTTATTTATTTCTAAACATTATTTTCCAACATTGCATTTGTGCATTGTTGTCAAATTGTGACTAATGTTATTCATAGGGAGAGAAAGGTCCCATGGGTCCAGCTGGTCGTGATGGGATTCAAGGCCCGGTAGGTCTTCCTGGTCCAGCTGGTGCTCAGGGTCCCCCTGGAGAGGACGGTGACAAGGTAAAGAATAATACCTGCTGTGTGAATACCAAAAAAGAAGAGACAGAAGGAGAGAAAATCTAGTTTTTAGAACTACCGCTTGTTTTCAAGAGCGAGCTGCTGCTGGAGGACCATGAGGAGGTATTTGAGCTTCTTAGTTTATAGCAGCCTGGAGGGGGGTGGGTGGGCGTGGCCAGCGCCAGCTTGTTTATAAACTGACAGAGCCCTGTAACCATTCAGTCTGGATGTTCTTGAAAATGTCTAGAATAAAAATTCTGAAATTGTTTTATGTGAGAGGGATTTTGTACAAAAAGCTTCATAAAGATGTTTTGTATTAACCCTAGACGTAAATCAAATCAACTTTATTTATAAACCCTTTCACATGCCCAAAACGGACAAACAAAGCGCTTGTTACGTATTGTAACAAGCAACAATGGATGAAGAAATCCACTGAAAAAGCTCGTTTCGACAAGGCAAGGTAACTCCATGTGCTTTCCAGGAGCAAGATCATCAGGAACACAAAAGATTAAAATCAACGTGACATCATAAAACAGCAGATTATAAAGCCGCATTTAAAAATACACAAATACAATTAGATGTAAGAAATAAAATAAAGAGGCTACGTTAAAGACAGCAGTTACAGTGCAGAGATTGCAGCATAAGAAACATGAATTCAAAGGCAGATGTATAAATGAATATTTTCTAATTTGATTGAAAAGCCACTAGATTTGGGGCGCATTTGAGGTCACGAGGACGGTGATTCCATCTGTATGCTGCATAGTAGCTAAAAGCAGATTCACCTTGTTTAAGTTCTGACCCAAGGTTCTACCAGCTGACTGCTTCCAAAAGTTATCAGAGCCCTGCTGGGTTTACATACTGCAAAGAGATCCAACATGTATTTTGGCCCATGCCATTGAGTGATTTATAAACATGTAGTAGCACTTTGAAATTGATTCTGTGGTTTATTTGTAGTCAGTGCAGAGATTTCAGAACAGGAATGATGTGCTCGGTTCTCATGGTTTGTGTTAAGACTAGCAGCAGCGTATACATAAAATGTTTACCCCTAGGCCAGTAAGTCTCACTCACTGAATCACTAATCTGCATTTCTACATCTGCAACCATCATACCTTCCTGTTCCAAGTCACGTCTCCCATCGAACCTTTTTGTCAATCATTCTGCAGATGAGGTGAGACAGAGAGCCAATCAATTAATTGAAAACACTTGCCCAAGGTCTTTCTGGGCCAATCAAATTAGAATCCCTTGAGAAAGATTCACTGGCCAATCAGGATAAAGGTGACATTTGAAGATATAGGACTTGGACCAAATATGGGAGGGAAAAGCTTTTAAAGATGTTGAAGAGGAATATGACAGATTTGTGTGTGTGTGTGTGTGTGTGTGTGTGTGTGTGTGTGTGTGTGTGTGTGTGTGTGTGTGTGTGTGTGTGTGTGTGTGTGTGTGTGTGTGTGTGTGTGTGTGTGTGTGTGTAGGGAGAAGTTGGTGGACCTGGACAGAAGGGCAGCAAAGGAGACAAGGGTGAATCTGTGAGTCTTTTTCTCATCTAATTTCATTTTTAGTTAAGGCTTTTTTTTATAAACTGATCTAATTGATCAACTCAATGAATTAATAATGAGACCAGCGTTCATTAAGCCTTAACTGCATAGATTATTTGTTTTAAGCATAAATAGCAATTAGCTGTTTTCATTTTTCAAGTAGAACAAAGGTGCTGGTTAAGAGTTAATATTTAGATGTTTCCATTCATTTGCATTAGTTTTAGGTTGAGATTATTGATAATAATTAGATTTAGCAGTTATTGTTTTCCATAATTCTGCATAAACAGCTTCTTTTTCGTACTTCATGACATCATCCTATTTATCCCTAGGGTCCACCGGGTCCAACAGGTGTCCAGGGCGTGGTTGGAGCTCCTGGTCCAGCTGTAAGTATCAGCTTCTTAAACCATCTGATATGAAAATTTCCCCATAAAATACAAATAAACCTTCTATTATTGACTTGAACGTTTATTAATGTCCTTCTCAGTGAGGAAAAATACATGATTTAAATCCTAGACATCACCCGAACATCGGTATTCACCCCAAATATATTTTTCTTTTTATATAAAAGGCTTTAAGCTTTTATTTGAGACATCTTGAATTTTTAATGCATTTTTATTTACATAAGAATGTGTTGCTTGCTTAATCTTATCCTCGAGCCTCAAGGAGAAGCGATGAATTATGCACCCAGGTGTGGAATGTTTTTTTCTAGTCAAGGCCTCATGGAGCCTGTGGAGATGTGTATCAAACAACCACTGGAACATGTGACCTGATGATCCCAGCCTGTTTGATTAAATACACATATGTTCATTCTATGGTCATCTTACATGTTTTTCTTCTGATACAAGTTATCCAAAAATTTAAAGACGGTTTGTTTTAATACAATAACCCCATACTATCACCATACTTGTGAGTAAATGGGGATAAAATGACTTGATGAGAAAATAAATCACACATTTTCTAAGCTGTTTTTGTTTGTTTACAGAATAAAATAATATTTCCACTAGATTTAGCAGCGTCTGTGTCAGATAGACTTATTCTCTTTTCCTTCTTGACTTGATATTTTAATACAGATTCAAAAATGTGCTGCAAGAACTTTAAAAAAACAGATCACATTCAGAATGCTAGATAATATATTGTTGGGATTTTAATAAATATTCAAGATAATTCATTGTGATTGCACAAGTGTACAATGAAATAAACATTCACCAGCAGCTATTTTCAAAAGTTGAATCTATTTCAGCAGGCAGTCAGTAACTGTTGAGGGTTTGATATTATTTTATAATTATTAATTTGTTTTATTTAGTTTAAAAGCTCATTTTTATTAGTCCACAAAATTATGAAAAAATGCTTAAAATGGAAAACAAGATTTGCTGGGACTAGTAGGGCAATTTTTTAAATAAGTAATTTTATTTCCCAAATCAGCAGATCACATATCAGTAAGGATGGGTGCAAGCCTTTTGGAATCCTTTATTTGTTTCTGCTCCTCCAAAAACACAGGTTCATATTTATTTATTTTTTTAAATTTATTTTAACTTATATTTTTCTTCCCAGGAGGATAAACTGCTTGAGATGTGGCATCTCGTTTTCGAGCAGGTCCTCCTACCATACAACAAGTAAAGAATAAGAAGGCAAAGTCCTTAAACCAAAGCAAATTAAGAAAAAATAAATAATAATAATAATAACACTTGCTGTGGCTTACCCCATGTATATGTAGGCATACTTGTAACAACAAATATAAAATACACATACACATCCATTAACAGATAAAAATTTAACAATAGAGAAACAACATAAATTGAGTGCGGCCACCATATTAAACACAATAGGCAAAACAATTACAAGTTGTCATCACATGCTCATAAATGGAATTACGAAATATACGAAAAGATTAAATAGATCTTAAGTTAGCAGGTAATGTATTCCAATCTTGAGGAGACCTCTTTTTGCCATTGCAATGCCGCATCGTTTTTGCAAGATTTTTATTGTGGCGATCAAGTCAAACATTTTTCTGTCACTGTGAGTCCACATTTTAATTAAACGTCTTCTATTTACAAAACAACCACATGATGTGCCTACCAGCTGCCATTCCTATCCTCACCCTAGTTCATTCAGCACGATTACCAGCTGAATTTTAGTGCAGAACATCCTCCGCTCAGAGAGAAAGTCCTGTTCCTGCTGGAACTGACGACCAGAAGGAGCCTAATGATTGCTAGAAATAATAATAAGGCCTAACCAGCCACTTTAACAAAAAATCTACCATTTGCAGGGCTCTGTGGGGGCTGGGCAAGTCCTGGTGAGACGAACTGCTGTAAGCAGGTTGAGCACCCGCATTGAAAATTAACTTATTTTACAGCTGTTTATCCTGGAGAGTCCGTTTGCTTATTCATGTCTCCACGACTGAATCCTGACTCATGCTGTGTTGTCTCGACATAATTAGCTCTCCTTTGTTAACAAGGATGTAAAAATAAGACTTTTAGATTTGTCTCCATATGCTGTAGGACCAGATTAAAAATCGAGTAAAAATGTAAATTTTAGGGGAAATTAGGCACCAGACCTGAAAAGATTTTTTTTTCACAAGCATTCTGAGTGTTTTGAAGAGAAGACTAAGCTCAAATGTCAAGTTTGCTGACAAATCTTCAGACTCTGGCGGGCATCTGTGGGCAGAAATAAATGGTAGTTAAAGATAAGCCATTCACAAAAAATAAAAAATGCATTTCATTTAAATAATGAATTAGTAGAAAAAGAAAATACTCAAACATAGCTGATGTGCCTTAAGTAGAGGAAACAATTACAAGACAAGTATTTCTACACAAAGCAAAGTTTTCTATGACTTTCTTATTCCTAAAGCATTTTTACTGAAGAAAAACAGTTTTTACATGTAGACAAAATGCAGCATTTTATTAAAAAACTTATAAAACAAGTCTTGTTATTAGATTATAGCTTCAATTTACTTTTTACAGCTTTACGATCCAAAAACTTTGTAGAATTTGTTTTTATTTTTGTAAATGTTCCTGGAAAATGCATGTGTAAACAATAATAAAGTTACTCCTCTTTTTTAATAACAGGAGAATCCCATATTCATTATTTTACTAAAGATTCAAATATGAAATTAAATTCATTTGAATTCTTGTCAAAAGAACAAACTCTACTGGATGGTTGTGCAACTGCTCACAAGTGAATTGGTGGCATTGACAGTCACATGCTTGCCTCCATGTTGTGACAGTTCCTCTAAGAGTCTCCATCAAACCGTTTCACTTACGTCAACGAAAATAGCGATTAGTTGTGCACGCTGTTCTACAACGAATAACAAATTAGGACAGCATATAAATCCAAGCTCTCCAGCTTTGGACACATCTCTGCTTCCTGTCTCCCTTGAGGAGATAAGATATGTGACTTTGTTTTGTCTCAAAAGCTTAAGTCCACCTTGTCTTTTCCTTGGAAAGCTCTGCTTGTGTCACCCATAATCACCTAACGTTTCCTTCTAAACTGATCTGCATTCAGCAGCAGTTCCCGAGGCTCCCTACTTGTCCCAGGGCTCAGCGAGCGCTCCTCAAGCACTTTCAAGTGCTGACACGTGTTTGAACAGAAAACTCACAGTCTGTCAGCACTTCACTCTTTCCCCACAGTCTCTTCGTTCTATCCTCTGTAGCTCAGTGCACCTCTGCCTTCACAGAAGTCAGCATTTTTCACATACACTGTTTACTGTGACCCTGTGGCAATGCATTACTGTATCCTGCCTTTGCTGATGAGAGTCTCTGTTAGGATATCGGAGTTTTCCCCTCAGGTAGCACAGCAGAGCCGTGCTTCCGGCTGGAGTTTGCCTCACACTTGTTTTGGTGTTTTATTCTGCAAACAAACCGACTTCATGCAGCTAGACACGGTGCTCAAAATGGCTTCTGAGGGCAAATTCCAGCTCATGAGTTAACCCCGATGCTGGCTTTTGACCTCTGCAACATGAGGACCTGGACAAGTTCTATTCCCTCACAAAATCAAGGAAAAACAAACAAATTAATGAAACAGAAATAATAACAAGCAAATATCAGCTTCAGATTTGAGATATTCAACAAAATAAATGTCCGAATTTGTCCGTGGAATCAGTCTCTGCTAGGTGAACTTACTTCACAACCTTGAAGGTGATTAAGGCACGAACAAAGAATGCATGCCAGCATTTGAGGAGTTGTATTTGCTGAACCCTGACTTTGCACAGGGCAGCGATGGTGAAGCAGGGCCAAGAGGACAGCAGGGCATGTTCGGTCAGAAAGGAGACGAAGGACCCAGAGGTTTTCCAGGACTACCAGGACCCGTCGGACTGCAGGTATGCCTTTTTTACCCTCATTTCCATTTGTTTGCTTTTGTTTTGTAAACTCGCACCAAATGTCGCCCCATGGGTGTGAGTGTTACTTTCTGTCTGTCTGAGCCATCCAGAGCAGTAGAATTACCTCCTCCCTCCTTAAACCCTCCAACATTTCATTTCCATTATTTATATTACATCAAAACAAAGGCTGTTTTATTTATGTGGTTCTGACTCCTGACAGTACTTTGTTTAAATCCTGGGTAAATAATGCTTTTCCCCTCAAGGACTTTCTCTGCTATAGACCGTTCCACAAATCCATCACTGTCTCTCACGTTTGATGTTTTTCTGCTGCATTTGTGGTAGGTGTGGTGTGTGTGTGTGTGTGTGTGTGTGTGTGTGGGGGGGGGGGGGGGGGTTACATTCAGACTGCATTAATGTCACATGGTAAATGACCCTCCTGCAGTGCCCTCAGACCTACATCATCTGTATTTGTTCAGATGTTCTAAATACGGTCTAGTTCAATTATTTTTCCCAATATGAGTTTATTTCTAAGAGATTCTCAGCCACTGCAGCGTTTGCATGTTGAAGGTAATGGGAGAGAGCGATCTGAAGGCTTTCATCGATAACTGATTCACAGTTTGGCTTTCCAGCTTGACACATCGATCCATATTTTTCATTGCAGCAGCTCATCGATTTCCCCTGTGATCATCAGAGAACCAAAGAAACATTTGTCCATTTGGAAACGAAAAAAGAAAATCCTAAAGGGCCATGGAATGCGTGGACATTTTTAGACCAGTTAAAGTTTTGGGAAACCAAGATTAATGTTTTCATATTTTTTGTCCTTCGATTTTTATTATGGTAGAGCTTATAAACCAGAAAGAGATTTGGGTTAGGGTTAAAGTAACTAATGTACGTTCATGAAGGGAAAGACCATTTGTCCTAATTTATGAATGCAATGTCCCAGTTTTACTTCTAAAACTTATTCCTTTAGTGAAAATTAAGATTTTGTTTGTTTTCCTTTCCTTTACTTTCTGAATTTATTTATTTCACAATGAACATAATAAAAAGCAGGGTATATTTTAGATGGTTTGTTAAAGCAAAAAGGTTTTAACCCTCCCACTGTTTTATTGGGTGACCCCGCGAGGAAAGTTGACCATTGTTGGGGTTATTAGGAGCGAACAATTAGTAAGCTTCAACTTACTTTTGGATTCTTCAATAAATTCTGTAAATATGGGAATATTTACTGATTTATTAATTAATTAAGATATTCTTAGATATACGGGGCACCATTCCCCTTTAACCGGGGAAAAATTGAATCCAAAACTCTTATCAGTCTTTCTTGAAGTTCGTAGAATCCTTGGAGCAGAGACTTCTCTTCGACACAACAAAGCTACTGGACACAAAAATCTGAATTTTATAACATTTAATTAACAATTTGTCAAATGAATAAACAGTGGAATAGATGAATAATAACCGTGTGATATGATTGAAGATGGATGTGTTTGCATGTGATGGAGGATGTATGAATGGGGTCCTTTGTTCTCACAAAGGAGTAGTGTGTATGTGTGTGTGTGTGTGTGCGTGTGTATGGATTCAAAATGGAGTCTTGAATACAAGATGGCTGACCCCTTTGTCTGGCTAAAGTGTGGGTGGCAACTTGCACTTTAACTTCCAAAGCACTTAGAATCAGTAGTAACTTAACCTTAAATCACTCAAAACATTTCAAAAGATCATGAAACAACACAAAAGATTAATCACAAATTAATATCTTTTAGTTTCAGCCTGGCCATGACAGAAACCATTTTAAGATACCAAACAATGATCAATAAGCAGTTTATTCTTTCAAAATGACCCGACGGACGTGTTTGGGACGAAAGAGGAAAACACGAAGCTACTTTTTAAGCAATAGACGCGGTTTATTGCTTATTTGAGACTATAGAGGAAACGGGAGAAGGAAAGAATGAGAGAAAAAAATGAGTTTTCTGATCACCAAAGCAGCAAGGCGTCCCCCGCTGTTATGACTTGACGGTTCTCCGTTTTTCTCCGCAGTTTCCAGCGTCATCCGTCGGTTTGATGCTTTCTCCGTTGTTTGGCGTTCACGAGTGTTTCTCCACGGGCTGGACAGAGACAGCAAAGTTTCTTTCTGTGCTGAGTTATAACTTACAGCGTGCTTGATGGAGTTGTTGCTTTCCTCCGCAGTTCTGTGTCCTCAAACATCAGCTGGAGGGGAGCAGAAACGAGCAGATCTGATGGGCTTGCAGTTTAGTTTCCAGCAGTTCCGTGGGCTCAACGTGGGCACTTAGAGCTTCCGCGTGCTCAAGGGAGTCGGAGCGTTGACAAGCGTGTCCTTACCGCCAGGTATCCTGGGCAAAAGAACGAGGATTCTTTGTCTCTGCTGAAGATTTATGGTCTTAGTTCGCGGGAAAAGCTCCACGGCTTCCCGCACATGCGCAGAACGTGTTTCTGGTACTAGGCGGTGACGTCATCACAATGCTTCCGTGTGCAAAGCATCATGGGAAATGAAGTTTCTTGGCGCTGATGTGATTATTTGCTTTTCAGAGCAATTTAAGCACAGTCATTTTGGAGAAAATCACTGCATAGTAATTTCCTCATGAGGTCAGACCCTCAACATTCCCCCTTTTGGTTTCGGGGATCGCGCCCAAAGCTCGATCGTCGGAAGCACAGATGGGTTTGTTCCTCATGAACGTAGGTCGACTTGATTGTCGGAAGCACAGGTGGGTTTGTCCCTTAGGACGTTGGTCTCCTTGGACGCCTTTGTCTTTGGTCTTTGTCTTGGATCCTGGCGCCTTTGGTCTTTGATCCTGGTCAGGCACAAAGAGGATAGGAAACGGGATAGTCCCCAACGCGCATAACGAGAAGAAGCCACTCACGCAGGTGGTACGCAATGATGATGTCGTCCATGCGAGAGGTAGTAGTGTAGAAGGAGGAAGGTCGGTGGGCGGTTAACTCCACGAGTGGACACAAAGGCATCTCACCGCCGGCCATACAGTTCAGTTTATGGAGCACGCGGTGATGTACGAGGTCCATAGTTCGCAAACGCGCATTGACCTATGTGGTCCCAAGATTCCCCCCTTTTTGGTCCAAAGGGTGGATCAGGACAGTCTTTGGGCTAAAACAAGGACCATAAAACTAAGAGGTACTACAATGTGCTGGTGCGTCAGACAGAGTCATTGACAGACTGAGCTGGGCCGGCACATAACCACTAGTTAATATGTGACCAAGTAAGAAACAAAAATACAGAAAACCCAAAAAAAAACCATGTAACATATAACATCCAAGAAAATTCATAGCAACCTTGAGGTCTCATAAAATACATTCTTAGGTCATACATTCAGTGTGTAGCTTATAAAGAATGTGACATACTGCAACATTCAGATAAATATGTGAGGTAGACTAAAATGAGAACTACTCTTAGGTTTACAGAATAACAAAGAAAATGTTGCTCACCCCCTTTAGACAGGTGTGGTACATTCACGCTTGGAGTCTCCCAGAACGCAGTTACGAGGCACACCGTAGGTGAGCAAGTGCATCTTATCTTGGAGTTTCTTAACACGCTTGTAGGCGGAATAAGCAATCACGGCCGTGATGAGCCATTCCATCCCCAGGGCGACCAATGTGCAGATTAAAGTCGTATAATCTGTGTCAATGTAGCGTCTTGGGCGTCAAAGTAAGTTCACGCGGGTTTTGTGTGAACTCAGCAAATTTGGTTCCTTCAATCAGTAATTGTTGGTCAATTTCTAAATCGATGGTAAAGTTATAACCCTGGAAAGCGTCCATGATCTCAATCTCCGAATCATGCTGTTCGAGGTTGAGGTGATGGAGTGCCAGGTTTTTAGTTCAAGGTGGAAATGCCTACCGTCCTTTCAAATACCAATGTTCAGCATCGACCTAAACTTATAGATGTGAGGTGTCACAATTATGGGAACGTTTAACAGGAAACCGAGTTCTAATTTTTTTCCAACGTGAATGGGCATTGCACTACTTAGGCTGTACGCTAGGTGGATTTGTGAAAGGTGCACAGTAGAGGGGTAGCAGCTGTCAAGCTAACTTTGAGCAGGTCCAGTGGTACCAAGTACGGGGAAATACGACTTTCAACCAAGCTGTCCAGCGTGGAACTTACTTCCCTGAGCAGGTCCTACATCAAATCTCTCACCACTCGTGTGTACACAATATCCTGAGGTATGGTTTCAGACAAAGTCTTGATTGCACGTAGAGATTCATTAATCAGAGCCTAGAATAGGTACCAGAGCACCCTGTAAGGTTTTAGTAGGTACATCCTGTTAGCGGTCTAGGAAGGAGTTTCTCTTGGTTAGTGAAAGTGACGGCGGGGGGGGGGGGGGGGGGGGGGCCTGGTTCTTTGTCGGTTAGTACATGTTAGTGGGTTAAACGTGCACTTCCCCCCCTTTTCCATTTCCATGCATAGAACTATGTAGCGACTACGTCTACCTCCTGCGGGGAGTCTGGTCTCTGTACCCGCGGGGATGGTTTGACGTAGGGTTTGATTTGGTTTGCATGCACCCATTTGTAGACAGGCTCCTGTCTCGCTTTGGTGATGCGTAACCTGTATGCAACTGGAGAGAGTTTTGCCACGATCTCAAATGGTCCTGACCAGCAGGGCAGGAACTTCTTAGGTTTGCGTGCCGGTTGGGCGAACCGAAAGTAGAATACTTTGTCACCCACCTCGTATTCGCGGCTGGTTGTCTTTTGGTCGTAGTAGGCTTTAGCGCCTTCTACGTTGGTCTCCAGTTTCTTCTGAGCGTGCGCGAACGTAGCTCTGAGGTGTGTTTTCAAGTCTGCCACATACTGATGAGCGGTATAGGCAGTGGCAACACTGACATCCTCTGGGTGATACAGGAGGTGCAGTGGTAGAGTCATTAGTCTGCCGGTCATCATCTCAAAGGGCGTAACCCCAGTGGATCGCTGTGGAGTGGACCGTATGGCCATCAGGACCAGAGGGAGCTTGACGTCCCAGTCCTTCCCAGTGGAGCAGACGTACTTTT